CCAAGAAGTAAAAAATAAATATTGAAATTCTCTCTCTTAAAAAATAAATTAATTAATTAATTAAAAAAAAAAGAACCTATAGAGTGAAATTGTATTGAGTGATTTGAAAAGTGTATTGAGTGATTGAAAAGGGCAGAAGCGCATGGACATTCTTTATTTCTCCCCCTGAACTGCATGCGTCGCACCTTTTGCCCATCGCAACAGCCTCCCAGTACCACAAAAAGCAAATGGAACCACACAGCTGGTAGACCTGGGTCCCCACCTAGGAATGACTGACTCCCCTAACATCACACAACTTGCTGGCAGCAGAGCCAAGACTTGAACCCTGGAGTCAGTTCTAGACCCAGCTCTTTCTCTCTCTCTCTCTTTTTTTTGTGTGTGTGGGTGTGTGTGGGGGGTTACTGGCAACTGAACTCAGGTGCTCTCAACCAGTGAGCCACATCCCCAGTCCTGTTTTATATTTTATTTAGAGACAGGGTCTTATTGAGTTGCTTAGCACCTCACTTTTGCTGAGGCTGGCTTTGAACCTGCCATCTGCTGCCTCAGCCCCAGCTCTTTTTTTTTGGTACTGGGATTGAACCCAGGGGCACTCAACCACTGAGCCACATCCCCAACCCTATTTTGTATTTTATTTAGAGACAGGGTCTCACTGAGTTGTTTAGAGCCTCCCCATTTCTGAGGCTGCTTTGAATTGGTAATCCTCCTGCGTTAGCCTCCTGAGCCGCTGGGATTACAGGCATGCGCCACCGCACCAGGCCAGCCCCAGCCCTCTTGAACACTGCACCATCACCCGCCTGTTTTCAAAACTGGAGCATTAACCAGAATTACCTAGAGAGCGTGTTCAAGCACAGGCTGCAGCCCTGACCCAGAGTTTCTAATCCAGGGTGTTGACAATTTGCATTTCTTTTGTTGCTATTTCACTCTGGGGACTGAACTCAGGACCTAGAATACTCTATTGACACTGACCTAGCTCCAGCCCCAAGAATTTGCATTTCTAAAAAGTTTCCATGTCCTGCTGCTGCTGCTGGTGGTGGTCCCAGGTGTGTAGGGTAAAAACTTCTACTGGAGCTGCCCGGGATGATGGTACACTCCTGTAATCCCAGCGACTCAGAAGTCCAGCAACCTAAGAGGCCAGAGGATTGCATGCTAGAGGTCAGCCTGGGCAATTCTGCCAAACCCTGTCTCAAAATTTTTAAAAACGGGTGAGGTCGGGGATGTAGCTCGGTGGTAGAGCACCCCTGAGTTCCATCCCCAGTACAGCCAACAACAATAGTAATAATAAAATAAAATAAAAATAATAAATCTCTGCTATAACTCCTAATTACATTCAGAATTATCCAACACAGGAGAGTATTTTGCCAACAGCATGTCAACCTCTACAAAGGATCCAAGAGTTGTATTTATGATATTAGTTTTTTTGGGCCATACTAGGGATTAAACCCAGGGCTCCTGCACTCTGGGCAGGTGCTGGACCACTGAGCTACATCCAAGGTGTTCTTTTATTTTTTTATTTTGAGACAGGGACTCAGTAAGTTGCCCAGGCTGGCCTCAAACTTGCAACCCTCCCGCCTCAGCCTCCTGAACACCGGGGCTGCCTCTGTCCCTCCACTTACCCAGCATCACCGTTTTTTCCAGGTCCATTACTTGAGTGGAGGTTCGTTTCTTCACCAAATGTCTTGACTCCCTGACTGAAGGTCATTTTTTTTTTTTAATTTTAGTTGCATATAAACTCAGTGCCTTTATTTGTTTTTATGTGATGCTAGGATCAAACCCAGTGCCTCCCACTTGAGAGGCAAGTGCTCTATCTCTGAGCTACAACTCCAGCCCATGACTGAAAGTCATTTGACTGTGTATTTGAGAGTTTATATCTGGGCTCTTTTTCCAGTTCTTGCATTCCTTTCTACAGCTAATATTCCATTGTTGTAAATAGAGCCTATTTTATTTACAGTAAGCTTAATATTTTTTTTCTTGGTATTTAATCATTTCACGTTATCACATCGTGATTCACGGGCTACCAAACCCTTGCCCAGGCTTCGCTTTGACTGTCAAAACATTGTCTTTGCTGAAGACAGTGCCTTTGTTGCCATTGCTTCTGGATTGCTTGTTTAATTCTTGTGAAGTCTCTATTGTCATTTTAGGACCCCAGAGTGCCTACAACAAAGAAAGCTTCAGTGCTGAGCTCTCTACCTCATAGGACTACAAACCTCTTTTTCTGTTGCTGTTACTGGAGATTAAATCCAGAAGTGCTTTAACTATGAGCCACATCCCTAGTCCTTTTTATTTTGAGAAAGGACTCCTGCCGAATTGCTGAGGATGGCCTCCAATTTGCAATCCTCTTGCCTCAGCCTCCCCAGTCCCTGGGATAATAGGCATGCACCACCGTGCCACACTACTGCAAATTCCTCTAATCAAATCTCAAATTACTCAAATTTTGTAAGTCACACTGTTAATATTCAAGGCACACTCCAGTAATCCCAGGAACTCAAGAGGCTGAAGCACGAGGATGGCAAGTTTAAGGCCAGCCTCAGCAAGTTAGCCAGAACCTATCTCAAAAATTTTTTTAAAGGGGAGTGGATCTGGGAATGTAGCTCAGTGGTAAAGCACCCCTGTGTTCAGTCCCCGAGGTGGCAAAACGAAACAGGAAATTCTCGGTAATACTGGTCCTGCGTGTGTGCATGTGTGTGCATGTGGAATCGTACAGGGTCTTGCCATGGGCGACTCCATCTTTCTTTTTTCCCATTCCCTTTCTCTCTCCTGGAGATGGCCTTTGCACTGTATTCTTCCGATCCTGCTTGTTTTTCTGAGATGATTTCAGAAAACAGCTGTTCATCATAAAAACTGACCCCCAAACTGGAACTTCCTGCCCTCAGGAGAAGAGATAGTCATCACAAGGCATTTACCTGGGGTCAGGCCAAAACACCAGACTGTGGGACTTAAGCTCTTGGGAAATGCTTATTTCTGCTCAGAGACCCTGACCTGATCCTCAAATAAATATTCCTACTTCCCCGGAGGGGACTGGAAAGGGGACTTGAGGCATTAGTTGTCATCCTTCCTGGTAAGAAACAGACATGAGCAGCAGGAACATGAGGTTAAGGGGATCATTCTATAAACTGGGCTTGCTGCACTGATCCTTTCTTTCTCTCTCTCTCTCTCTCTCTTCTTTCTTTCACCTGCAGCCTGCCTGGTGTAAGCCGACAGGTTATGTTACATTCCTCAGCCAACAACCTGTTATCTAAATGCCTGGCCAGAAATGCTGATGAGGAGAACACAAGTTACACCTAAGCAGATGATTTTTGTGACCCTTAGATCTGGGAACTCAGGGAGATAATAGTAATTCCCCCTAAAATCTATAAGAAGAGGTTCTAGTTAGAACCTGTCAGGATGGGCCAAAGCGACCTAGAGTTGTCATGACAGTGGGGACTTGACTGTCTGATACCATCCAGCTGTCAGTCACAAGTCAAAAGGTGGACCTGGGTGGGACTCTCTGGAAACTTCCTTGGGACTCACAGTAAAACTGGAGGGCAGGCCAGGTGTCCTAGCTGGTGGCACACCTGTAATTCCAGAGACTTAGGAGGTTGAGGCAGGAGGATCATAAGTTTGAAGCCAGCCTCAGCAACTTGGTGAGACACTGTCTCAAAAATTCAAAAATAAAATAAAAAGGGCAGAGAATGTAGTTCAATGATTGAAGCACCCCTGGGTTCCAACCCCCAGTAACACACACACAGGTACACACAAACTTGGAGGGCAGGAGAGACACTATCCTCTCTGAGAGGACTCAGTCTGTCCCTTGAAAGTGTCCCCTTTCCCTTTGTTAGCCCTTCAATAAACTTGGGCCTGAGAGAGGTTGGCAGCACACACCTGCAGTCCCATGTTTGGAAGACTGAGGCAGGAGGATCACAAGTTCAAGGCCAGCCTCAGCCATTTAGTGAGACCTCTGCCTAAAATAAAAACTAAAAAAGCAGGGAGTGTGAAGGGCTCCCGGGTTCACCCAGGCCCCATCACCAAAACAAACAAACTCATGCCTGCTCCTCTGAGCCAATGTCTGGAATCTTTCTGGCTGTTGGCAAGGATTCGGGGGAAGAGGGGTGCTCAGTGGCTGCCCCAGCTTCTCAGTGCTTCTCTGCCCTGCAACTTTCCAGGTTGCCAGCGACCTCCATAAAGCCTTTCTTTCTACTCCAACAGCCGTCTCTGTGGCATTGTTTTTTTCCTGGGACAACCTTCGGGACCTCAAAGAGATGCTTTCTAAGTTTCAAAGCAGATGATGATTTTTGCCTTTTTTTCCCCCCAGTTGTTCTACAATTTTTTTTTTTAAAGAAAAAAAGTCTTATTTCGCTAACTTGCTAACTTGCTGAGGCTGGCCTTGAATTTGCAATCCTCCTGCCTCAGCCTCCTGAGGATGAGATTACAAACAGTGCAACACTGTGAGTGGCCGCAGCTAACATTTATCGGAATGCTTAATTTAACTGCTTGCTTTCTTCCACGCATCACCTCATATTCCTCACAGCTGCCCTACCACTAGGTCCTATTATTGCCCCCATTGTGCAGAGACGGAAGTCGAGGTTCAAAGGTCTAAGTAACTGGCCAGGGTTGCGACGCTGGTAAAGCGGAGGAGCCAAGGGATCTGCAAAGTGAGCAGGGCAGGCATTTTGTTCCAGATCAGAGCAAAGTCCAGACACCCCGAGGTCTTGGCGACAACTGGCCTGGGGGCTGTGCAGAACGCCAGCTTGGGGACCCGGGGCGCAGCTGTGTTCCGTTCTGCTACAGGTTTCGGGTGAGTACCCTCGGATGTGACCCGGCCTCCCCCGCACCACGCAGGTCACAGGGCTGGAAAGACTGAGTTCTCGGGCGGAAAGAGTGAGCGCTGCCGCCCGCGCCCCGCCCCCGTCTCCTTGGAAACGGCGGCCCGCGGCCACGCCCTCCAGCCCCGCAGCGCTCAGGGCTGGCCGCTTCGCCGCCGCTTCGGCCTCCCGGTTCTTCTCGGCCGCCGCCTTCCCTTCTCGCTGTCCCCTTCGGCCCCAGGCCACCTCCTGCAGCCGCGCTCCAGCACCGGGCACCCGCGTCCGCGCCGGACAGTCCCCGCGCTATTCCCGGGTCCACCCCTCGGCCGTGCTGATTGGGCAGGCGGGGTCTCCGCCCGGCGGAAAGTTTTCGGTGCCTGGAGGAAGTTGAACCTTGGAAACTCCGAGCAAGCGACTCCGGTGGTGGCCTCGGGGGACTCGAGGTCATGGAGGAGCCCCCGGTGCGAGAGGAGGAGGAAGGAGACGGAGAGGTGGATGAAGCCGGGCCCGAGGGCGCCCTGGGCAAGAGCCCCTTCCAGCTGACCACCGAGGACGTGTACGACATCTCCTACGTGGTGGGCCGCGAGCTGATGGCCTTGGGCAGCGACCCTCGGGTGACCCAGCTGCAGTTCAAGATTGTCCGCGTGCTAGAGATGCTGGAGGCGCTGGTGGATAAGGGCAGCCTGGCCGCAGAGGAGCTGAGGATGGAGAGGGACAACCTCCGGCAGGAGGTGGAGGGGCTGCGGAGACGGGGCCCGCCTGCCCAAGGGGAGGTGAGTGGGGGAGGCGCCCACCCGAGGGAGGTCTTTGGCCTTTGTTGGAGGAGCCGCTCAAAACAGTTCTCTTCGAATTTCCAATCCTCAGATTGGACAGTTGACATTCATTGAGTACTTACTTGGTGCCGGGCTGTGGAGTGTGTTCTAAGTCAGCCTCCATCATTTCTGACCTTGACTTAGATCAGCTAAAAGCTTAGCATATGTGGCTGGGGAAGTGGTTCCGTGGTAGAGCGCTTGCCTGAAGCTTTAGGGTACATGCCAGTCTCGCACACTGAGTTGCCCTTAAAACAGATGACCAGATCCCAGCCCCAGAGTCCCTAACTCAGCAAGTCCGAAATGGGACCTGAGAATCTGCATTTCTAACCAGTTTTCCTGTAACGCTGATGCACCACACTTTGAGAGACTGGACTTGAGTAAGAGATACATTTGAACTAAATAGAAATTACTGCATATGACAACAAACCACAAACACAAGAAGATTCAGAGCAGCTTTAGTAATAGTGATCCTGTCAAAATGGAAAGAACTCTGTTGCAACAGATAGGTTGTTTACATTGTGCTGTGGTCCTACAGTGGAATACTATACAACAATGAAAGAGAACTGAGTAGTGATACAACAGTTTAGATAAAACTCCCAGATGTCACTTTGAGAAAAAGGAACTAGGAGGCTGGGGTTGTGGCTCAGTGGTAGAGCACTTGCTTAGCTGTGTGAGGCACTAGGTTCGATCCTCAGCATCACTAATAAATAAATAAATAAAATAAAGGTATTGTGTCCATTTAAAACCAAAAAAGAAAGATAGCAATTATGCGCAAAAAAGAACCTACTGTAGGGCTGGGGATGTGGCTCAAGTGGTAGCGTGCTTGCCTAGCATGCATGAGTCACTGGGTTCGATTCTCAGCACCACGTAAAAATAAAGATATTGTGTCCACCTAAAACTAAAAATAAATATTAAAAAAGAACCTATGTAGATTTGTATAAAATTCAAGAACAAGCGTAAGAACCTTTAGTTATAGGAGGCAGAATGAGGGAAGGTGGGCAGAAAGGAAACTGATAACTATACATTTCCTGTCTTTTATTTTTTATTTTTAGTTGTTGATGGACCTTTATTTTTATTTTTTAAAATTTATTTTATTTTTTGAGAATTTTAATATTTTATTTCTTAGTTTTCGGCAGACACAACATCTTTGTTTGTATGTGGTGCTGAGGATCGAACCCGGGCCACACGCATGCCAGACGGGCGCGCTACCACTTGAGCCACATCCCCAGCCCGGACCTTTATTTTTATTTGTTTCTGTGCAGTGCTGAGAATTGGACCCGATGCCTCACACATGCAAGGCAAATGCTTTACCCACATTTCCTGTCTTCATCGGGATATGGATATACAGGTGTATACATAGGTTAAAAATCACCTATCTAAAGTCAAGATGAGTGAATATTACTGTGTTATACTTTAGTTTTACTAAATGCTGTTTTTACATCATTGTCCTTTCTTGTTTTCTTCCCCCATGCTGGGGATGGAACTTAGAGCCTGGAGCATGCTGGGTAAGGTGCAGGAATCCACTGCTGATGACACCCCAGCCCTCAATCTCTAGTATTGATGAAGCAAAAATTTCAAGAAACAATTAACCCAAACTTGCCCTTACTCTACATGGTGCACAGGCTTTTTCTTTCCTGTTCTATTTTTATTTTTATTTTTTATTTATATATTTATTTGGTACCAGGGATGGAACCCAGGGGTGCTTAACCACTGAGCCACATCCCCAGCCCTTTGAGTCAGGGTTTCACTAAGTTGCTTAGGGCTTTGCTAAATAGCTGAGACTGGTTTTGAACTTGCCATCCTCCTGCCTAGGCCTCCCTAGCCTCTGGGATGACAGGCATGTACCACTGTGCCTGGTCTCCTATTCTACTTTTATAGTTAAAAATTGGGTCAGAAAAAAAAAAAAAATTGGGTCAGAGTTGTGGCTCTGTGGTAGAGTGCTTGCCCAGCATGTGTGAGGCACTGGGTTCAATCCTCAGCACCACGTAAAGATAAATAAATTAATTAAAGGTATTGTGTCTATCTATATCTATCTATCTATCTATCTATAATAGTTTATATATAATAGTATATGTATATATATCTCATACCCCCAGCCCTCAGTCTCCAGTATTGTGTGTGTGTACACACACACACACACACACATATGTATATATTATCCAGGGCTTCCCACTTGCTAAGGACCTACACTACCACTGAGCTACAGACGCAGCCCCAGCCCCTCCCTGTTTTATTTCACTTATTCCTAAGTCACAGTGACCATGGAATTGTAGTTGAGGTTCTACTTAGCGACTATTATGTGAGATGACTCAGGGTCTTATGCAGTTGTCTGTGGAGAGTCAAGAGAAGTTCATTGACCTGCCCAGGACCCTCATTCACTGCTGTTGGCAATTGATCTCCACACACAGGATATGGAGGAAGTCTTGGCCCGGAACCTGTGGTCTGCAGGGGGCTGGGTGACTTCTCACTTGGGACAAAGTGCAAAAGCGTCATCAGGCAGCAGATGAGAAGGCACATTTTTTTTTTCTTTTTTTTCCCAGTACACAGTCTATTTTTTCTTTCTTTCTTTTTTTTTTTTTATACTGGGGATAGAACCCAAGGATTTTTTTTTTTTTCCTCTGGTGCTGGGAATTGAACCCAGGGCCTAGTACATGAAAGGCAAATGCTCTACCAACTAAGCGATATCCCCAACCCATTTTTTTTAAAACATATTTTTAGTTGTAGATGGACACAATACCTTTATTTTATTTGTTTATATGTGGTGCTGAGAATCGAACCCAGGGCCTCGCATGTGTGAGGAAAGTGCTCTACCACTGAGCCACAAGGATTCTTAACCCCCCAAGGATTCTTAACCATTAAGCTACATCCCAGCCGATTTTACTTTTTGAGACAGTGTCTCACTAAATTGATGAGTCTGGAACTTCAGACCGTCCTGCCTCAGTCTTTGGAGGCCCTGGGATTATAAGTGTGAGCACCCCACCAAACTCCAAACCTCCATGTTAAGAATGGGGATAGCCTGGGTTCAATCCCCAGTACTGGTGGCGGGGGGGAGAAAAATCAGGGGTAGGGAGCCAGCTACACAGGAATTCTGAGGCAGGAGGATTTAAAATTAGAGGCCAGCGTGGGCAGTTGAGCCAGACCTTTCTCAATAAAAAATAAAAAGCGGTGGGGATGTAGCTCAGTGGTAAAGCACCCCTATGTTAAATTCTCAGTACCAAACAAAAAGAGTGTGGGGTGGGTTGTGGTTCAGCTGTAGAGCACGTACGTACCTGGCACGTGGGAGGCCCTGGGTTCCATCCCCAGCACAATAAATTAAAAAATGAACTCAAAAGGTGGTAGCCTTGAAAAGCCACTCTTCCTCACCCATTCAATTCCTCTCCTGCAGATAAATGATCAATTTTGGGGTATCTAAAGATACTTTTTTTTTTTGTACTGGGAATTGAACCCAGGGGTTCTTTCGTTTTGCTGAGCTATATCCCCAGTCCTTTTTATTTTTGAGATGGGGTCTCTCTAGATTGCCAAGGTTGGCCTCTATCCTGTGATCCACCTTCTTCAGACTTCCAAATCACTGGGATTACAGGCCTGTGACACTGCCACAAGCCTTCCCGAGACTTATGCAAACAAAAGCAAATATGACTGTATTTTTCTTTTTTTAAACGCAAATGTTATTGTAATCTACACACTGTTTGGCCTCTTGCTCATTTTCACTTAACACAGCTTGAAAGTTGTACTAAATCAGAATATAAAGAGCTTCTTTGTTTTTTTAATAGCTTTTGAAAAATTCCATTGTACAGTGTTATCAATTGTCCCTCTGAGAGTTCTATACTTGGTGTTCCGGAGTCACCGAGGGGACTATGCTCTGTTTCAAAAAGAATATGAACTTGCCTGGGAACAAAAAATTATTTTCATTTCACCAACCTCCAGAGAAAACGTGTATCATCTTCCTCAATTAGGAGTGTTACCCAGTAAATGAGCAATATTAGGAACATCACCAGTAGAATGCACATGTGTTTTCCTATCACATTATAGTATGTATCTTAGAACATTTTGCTCAATATTTTCTTAAACCTGTGACTAGATCATGTTATTTAGTGAAGAAGGAGCTTTATCAATTATAAAGTTCATATATATATATATATATATATATATATATATATATATATATTTATTTATTTTTTTTTTTTTAATTTATTTATTTTAGTGGGGGGAATAACTGAAGGGTTGAATCTGAGGAGTTGAATCAAGAGCACTTAAACACCGAGCCACATCCCCAGCCCTTTTTGTTATTTTGAGACAGGGGTCTCACTAAGTTGCTTAGAGTCTTGCTAAGTTGCTGAGGCTGGCCTTGAACTTGGGATCCTCCTGCCTCAGCCTCCTGAGCTGCTAGGATTATAGGCATGAGCCTATAATGTACCCACCTTGCCTTGAGCCTATAATGTACCCACCTTGCCTTGCAATATTTTGATAGCTGTATGTCATTTTAGTTGATACCCTTATGACATCTTCCTCCCTACTACTGGGGATCGAATCCAGGGGCACTCTACCCCTGACCCACACCCTCAGCACTTTTTATTTTGTTTTGAGACAGGGAATTGCTAAATTGCCAGGCTGGCTTGAATTTGTGATTCTTCTCACTCAGATTACAGGAGTGAGCCACCCCATCTGGTTTACCCACCATTCTGCCATTTTTATTGATATTAAAACATTGTTCTGTAGGATCAAACATAGGGTCCACATGGTCTTTATCAAGCTGCCAAAATGGATCACAAAATGTTAATCTCCATTTTAACCAGTCTGCTATCGACAGACATTTCTGCCAGGTGCAGTGATACATGCTTGTAATTCCAGGTACTCAGGAGGCTGAGTCAGGATGATTGCAAGTTTAAGGCTAGCCTGGGCAATTTAGTGAGAACCTGTCTCAAATAAAAAAGGGCTGGGGATGTAGCTCAGTGGTAGTGAAAGTGGCTATCCTGTCTGAGGCTCTGGGTTCAATCCCCAGTACTGTAATTAAAATAAAATAAGGCTTTTTTTTTTTTTCTTTTGTGGCACTGGGGATTGAATGCAGAGCCTCAGTTATGCACTGTGAGCACACTACTACTGAGCTGATCCCTAGCCCTTTTTTATTTTATTGTTATTTTGAAACAGCGTCTCACTAAGTTGCTGAAGGTCTCCCTAAGGTGTCTGAGGTTGGCCTCAAATTTACAATCCTCCTGCCTCAGCCTCCCAAGTCTCTAGGAATAAAGGCATGAGCCACCACACCCCACATCCAGGTTGGTCTTAAAATCCTGGGCTCAAGTGATCCTCTGGCTTCAGCCTCCAGAGCAACTGAAACTACAGGTACATGCCGATCACCTATACTTATTTCAACTTTAGTATGAAAATATTTTAAACCTAAGGAAGAATTTCCAGGGAAGTATAATGAACACCTGTATCTTTGGTCTGAATTCAGGTATTATCTTCAGGTGTTTTGTATGTGTGAATAATTTTTATTTTTTGCTTAGCCATTTGTGAATTAGTTGTAGAAATTATGATCCTTTATCCCTCAGTACTTCATTGTGTATCTCCTAAGACATACTGTTACTTGACAAAGGAAATGGTCATGTGCCGAGAAAAGAGGTGGTAGAATGCTGAGCTCATGTAGTGTCCTTGTTAAAAAATCAGCAGCATAATGTTCTTGATAGCATTTTTAAAAAATACTTTATTAGTTGTTGTTGGACCTTTATTTATTTATATGTGGTGCTGAGAATCAAACCCAGTGCCTCACACATGCTAGGCAAGTGCTCTACCACTGAGCCCCAGCCCCAGCCCCTCTTTTTCTGATGCAGGATCCTGTCCAGGAGGTGGGGGTGTGACTCTGTGGTAGAGTGTTTGCCTGGCATGTGTCAGACCCTGAGTTCAACCCCCAACACTGCAAGAAAGAGAGAAAGAAAAAGCACAATCTGGCCCAGGGCCCCACAGCCTTAGCTCTGAGTAGCTCTTCAGCCTTCCTTAGAGTTCCTGACCTTGACTTCTCTCCCCTCCCCTCCCCTCCCCTCCCCTCCCCTCCCCTCCCCTCCCCTCCCCTCCCCTCCCCTCCCCTCCCCTCCCCTCCCCTCTTTCTTTTTTGTAGTTGCAGATGGACAGAATACCTTTATTTTATTTATTTTTATGTGGTGCTGAGGATTGAACCCAGTGCCTCACACAGGCCAGGCAAGTGCTCTGCCACTGAGCCCCAGCCTCCACCCTGACCTTGACATTTCTGAAGACGGTGCAGGACGTGCCTCCATCTGGACTGGTTCTGATGTTTCCTGGGATGAGCACTTGGCAGAGAAGCTGCTGAAGTGTCAGCCTCTCCTGAACCATCTCTTACCAAGATGGTGGCAGGAAGATGTTCCCACTGTGATACCTTCTACTTTAAGTCACTGTCATGCTGCTGTAAAGTACAGGTGTCCCTTTTTCCCATTAGCTACTTTATTAATGAGTCAATTTTAATTTCTTAATTGTTAATTTTTAACTTTTTAGTACTAACAATGGAATCGATGAGTGCTTTACCCCTGAGCTGCCTCCCCGGTCCTTTTTATTATTCATTCATTTATATATTTATTTGGTAGTGCTGGGGGTTGAACCCTGGGCACTGTACCACTGAGCTACATCCCCAGCCCTTTTGCTTTTACTTTGAGACAGGGTCTGGCTAAGTTGCAGAGGCTGACCTCAAACTTGCTATCCTCCTGGTTCAGTCTCCTGAGTCACTGAGCTAATAGGCACACACCACATGACACCCAACAGCCCTTTTTATTTCTTTTTTTGAAATATGGTTTTGCTCAGTTGCTCAGTCTGGCCTTCAACTTGCAATCCTCTTGCCTTAGCCTCCCAAGTAGCTGGAATTAAAGGAATGCACCACCCACTATGCCTGGCTTATTTTTGCATTTTATTTGTTTACTTATTTGGTGCTGAGGATTGAACCCAAGGCCTTGCCCATGCTAAATACCCACTTTATGGCTGAGCTACACCCCCAGCCCCGATTCTGGTATTTTATTTTATTTTATTTTTTAACAATATTTTTTAGGTGTTGATGGACCTTTATTTTATTCACTTATTTATATGTGGTGCTGAGAATCGAACCCAGGGCCTCACACATACTAGGGAAGCATTCTACCACTGAGCCACAACTCCAGCCCCAATTCTGGTATTTTAAATATGAGTGCCTATTAAGACAGAGTCGCTGGGGCTGGCCTTGAACTTTCGATCCTCCTGAGCAACAGGGATTACTTACAAGTGTGCACCACCATGCCTGGCCAAACTGGGTCACTCTGATCCGTCTGCATCCCTTACATAAGGAAATATTCCTCACTCAGTTTGTATTTTGTCTGTTCCAGTCCTGGAGTCAGCTCTTCCAGGAATCCTGGATCTTTTCTTGGAGAGCAGGACTTAGAATTTTGGCTTCTTTCCCATCTGCCAACAGGCGCCATCTCAGCTCCTGGGGCTCCTGGGAGCCACAGGACAGAGCCTGCCTTTCCGGGAGGAGCATCCATGGCCATGAGGAAGACCATTAAAGTAGCATCCTTTCTTACAGGTGAACCTGGGACCGGACAAAATGGTGGTTGACTTGACGGATCCCAACCGGCCGCGCTTCACCCTGCAGGAGCTGCGGGATGTGCTGCAGGAGCGCAACAAGCTCAAGTCCCAGCTGATAGTGGTGCAGGAAGAGCTGCAGGGCTACAAGAGGTGGGCTTGCTGCCGTGCAGGCTACCCCTGCCCAGCCAGGCCTGCCTGAGGTCCTTGCTGGCCACAGAATTGTTTCATGTTCACTCAGCAAATCTAATGAAGACCTACTATGTGCAGGGCCCTGTTCTGGGGAAGGAGAAAGTGAAAGTCCTTGCTAATCTAGTTGAGGGGACAGGTCATCAGTCAGGAAGCCCAGGATTGGGGCTGGGGCTCAGGGATGGAGCACTTGTCTGTCATGCTGTTTGGTCCCAGAATGATCCCTGGTAACGTGCACACACGCACACACACACAAAAGAATGTGAAGCAAGTTATCACAGGCAGTAAAATGGGAGTGGGGGGCTCTTTCTTCAGTTAGATAGTCAGAGAGGCCACTCTCAGGTGAGTGACCAGAGTCAGCCATGTAAATATCAGGCAGGGCAAATAGGAGCAGGAAGTACAAAGTCCCTGAGGTAGGAACCAGCTTGGCAATTTAATGGGGCCCACATGGCAAAGCCCAGAATGCACAAGGAGGATGGTAGGAAGGAGGCCTTGGAGCTCATCAGCCGAAGGGAGGAGTTGAATTTTGTTAATATAATGAGAAAGTTTCGATCAAAGAAATGACAAGTTCTGATTTACTAGTTTGAAAGATCAATGTGATGATTTTGACAACTGAGTCACTTGGTTATATAAGAGAATTTCCATATTCTTTGGAAATACACCCTGGTATTGAGGAGTAAAGGGATAAGATGTCTCCAGTTTAACTCTGGATGGTTCAGAAGGACGAGGGACTGTTGGAAATCTGGGTGAAGGGCCTGTGGTAAGTCCTTGTCCACACTCTTATACCTTTTCTTCAAGTTTGAATTGAAGTTTAGAAGAACATTAGAGCAGTACTGTGGAGAGCGGCCCCAGGACAGTGGGAGGAGGCCGTTGCCACAGAGGTCTGCACTTCAGTGGTGCTGCCCTGGCGAGCGCAGGTTCAGAGTCTTTGGTATCTGCCTCAAGTCCTGCAGCCAGGGGTAGTCAGAGTAGGAGGTGGCCTCCAATGCTCTGACACCACAACCTGTGCATGCCTCCTTTGGACCCAGAACACTTGGAATTAAGGACGTGCCCCGATCAAAAACAAAAATAAAAAGCTGGGTGTGCTGGTGCATGTCTGTAATCCTACCTACCATGGAGGCTGAAGCAGGAGGATCACAGGGGTAAGGCCAGCCTGGCAACTTAGTGAGACCAACTTGAAATAAAATAAAAAGGGCTGGGGGTGAAGCTCAGCTGCAGAGCCCCCAGGGTCCCGTCCCCAGTACGACACCCACACATAGCCCTTGTGATATTATTATTTCTGTGTTTCTGTGTGTGCTGGGGAGAGAGTGCAGCACTTTGCACAAACTACGGGCTTTACCACTAACCCACACCCCATTTTAAAGATGTTTTTAATCATCTTTTAAAAAACAGGAAGTGGGGCTTGGTGGCACACACCTATAATCCCAGCAGCTCAGGAGGCTGAGGAAGGCTGAGAAGCATGAGTTCAAAGTCAGTTGCAGCAATTTAGTGAGGTCCTAAGTAACTCAGGGAGACCTGTTTCTAAATAAAATACAAAATAGAGTTGGGGATGTGGCTGGCTCAGTGGTCAAGTGCCCCAAGTTCAATACCCAGCACACACCCCCATAAATAAATAAATAAACAGGAAGGTAGGCATGGTGGTACACACCTGTAATCCTTGTAATTCAAGAGTCTAGGGCAGGAGGATCACAAGTTCAAGGCCAGCCTCAGAAACTTTTGAGACCCTGTCTCAAAATTTAAAATTAGCCTTGTGTGGTGGCACATGCCTGGAATCTCCGCGGCTCAGGAAGTTGAAACAGGAAGATCGGAAGTTCAAAGCCAACCTCAGCAACTTAGCGAGGCCCTAAGCAACACGGTGAGACCCTGTCTCTAAATAAAATTTTTTTTTTTTTTTAAAGAGAGAGTGGGAGAGAGAGAGAGAATTTTTTTTTTTTTGGGCATCTTTTTTTTTTTTTAAATTTTTTATTGTTGGCTGTTCAAAACATTACATAGTTCTTGATATATCATATTTCACAATTTGATTCAAGTGGGTTAGAGAGAATTTTTTAATATTTATTTTTTAGTTCTCGGCGGACACAACATCTTTGTTTGTATGTGGTACTGAGGATCGAACCCGGGCAGCACGCATGCCAGGCAAGTGCGCTACCGCTTGAGCCACATCCCCAGCCCTCTAAATAAAAATTAAAAAGGGCTGGGGATGTAGCTCAGTGGTAAAATCTCCTGGATTCAATTCCCAGTACCAAAATAAAGAGAAAAAACAGCAGCCAAAGGGCTGGGGTATGGCTCAGGGGTAGAGCGCTTGCCTCACGTGCACAAGGACCCACCCCACAGTAAAAAGAGCAAAAGAGCAGCAGTAAAGTTGAATTCTAAGAAGCAAAAGCCAAAAGAAATGAGTTCTGCCAACAGGAATTTATTGTGTTCTTCTGCCGAGGCTGGACCTTGTTAATGGAAAGGGCTGTCTTTTTTTTTTTTTCTTTTCATTTCTTTTTTTTTTGGAACCGGGGATTGAACTCAGGGGCAGTTAACCACTTAGCCCCTTTCATTTTTTAATTTTAAGACAGAGTTTCGCTGAGTTGCTGACAGCCTTGCTAAGTTGCTGAGGCTGGCTTTGAACTCATGATCCTTCTGCCTCAGCCCCCTGAGCTGCTGTGATTACAGGTGTGCACCATGGCACCTGCTTTTACTTTTATTTTGAGTCAGGGTCTGGCTAAATTGCTGAGGCTGACCTCCAACTTTCAGTCCTCCTGCCTCAGCCTTGAGAGTTACTGGAATTACAGCTGTGTGCCACCATATCCAGTGGAAAGAGCTGCCTTCGTCTCACTTAATTAAACAGTTCAGACACAGGTGGTTAAAAAGAGAAGCTGCCAAGCTGACAGGGCTAGGAGCAGCTTGTTAGTGAACAAAGTGACATCCTTTATTTTCAGGTTTAAATTCCCAGAGAACAAGAAACGTGCAGTCACACACAGAAACAGGATTCTGCTTAGTCACTAGTGATATAATTTCCAGAGAAAACATAATGCCAACTGAGATGTTCTCTTAGCAACTGCATCAATTTGCATGTCCAAACTTACAGTGTAATGACAATAATTTGTGATTAAAGCGAAATCTGGTAGATTGTTTCCAAAGATGGCCACATTGGTATTTCCCATCCTGCATGCCTTTAGCGATGAAACTCAGGAAGAAGTGGAGTCTGTTCAGGTGTGGAGGTGCACACCTCTGATCCCAACAATGCAGGAGCAGGAGGCTGAGGCAGGAAGATTGAAGGTTTGAGGCCAACCTCGGCAACTTAGTTAGACCATGTCTTAAAATAAAATTTTAAAAAGGGCTGGGGATGGAGCTCAGTGGTAGAGTATGCTGGGGACACTGGGTTCAATCCCCTATACGACACACACACAGAAGTGGAGTCTGTATTCCCTCTCCTTGAATCTGGGCTGGCCCTGTGACTTGCTGTGACCAGTGGAATAGGGCAAAAAGGATGCTGTCTGGCACCTTATGTTGGGGCTTCTGTTTTTGCCTGCTTGGAGTGCTGTCTTCAGACCACCATGTGGTCTGAGGATGCCCGGGGTAGTCACAGGGAAAGGACCAGGTTGCCCAACGATACCCACTGTGCCCAGCCCTTGGACACAGCCAAGTGACATCACCAGACTAGATTAGCAGAGAACCACCATGCTAATCAGCAGAGGTAGGGCCAGAGAGTCTGTAAATCATTATTTGATGTAACTGCATTTTATTCATGTCACGATAGATGAAAAGAAAAAGGGATTTTTTTTTTCTTTAAGTACTGGGAATAGATTCTATAGGCACTCTACCCCTTCCTGAGCTACATACATCCCCAGACCTTTTAATTTTGTGACAGGTTCTCACTAAGTTGCCCTGAATGGCCTCAAACTTGGGATCCTCTTGCCTCAGCTTCCCCAAGTAGTTGGAGTTGCAGGCATGTGCAACCCCATCCATCTGAAAAAGGGCATTTTATTTATTTTTATTTGTTTGCTTTTGGCACTAGGGATTGAACCCAGAGCCTTGTGCATGTTAAGCACATGCTCTATCAATGAACTGCACCCCTAGCCCAAAAGGGAGTTTTTAGATGATGCCTACTATGAAATAATCCTAACATTAAAATAAATAAAATAAAAACAATAACATTAAACAATAAGAACTCACCTATTCAAAACCCTTTCATAAAGAAGTAGGGAGGATGACTCCTGCCCTGTGACTCACACTGAAAGAGATGTGTCAGTCACCTCCAGCTGCGATAACAAAATATCACCAACTGCTGGGCTTTCACCACAGAAATTTCTTTTCTCGCAGTCCTAGAGGGTAGAAGTGCAGGGTCATGGTGCCAGCATGGTCAATTTCTGGTAAGGACTGAACTGGTAGACAGCTGCCTTCACAGGAGTCCTCACATGGCCAGGGAGACAGAGCACAAAGACACTAATCCAGCCAGGCAGGATACACACCCCTGTAATCCCAGCTACATAGGAGACTGAGGCAGGAGAATGGCAAGTTTGAGGCTAGCCTCAGCAATTTAGCAAAGCCCTTCTCAGAATAAAACATTTAAAGCTCTGGGGATGTAGCTCAGTATAAAGCACCCCTGGGTTCGGTAACCCCCACCCAAAATAAAGACATTAATCCATCATGTGGGCCCCACCCTTGGGACCTCATTTACACCTAATTATCTCCCAGAGGCTTCATTGGCAATTACCACCAAGAAGGACTAGGACTTCCAGGTAGGAATTTTTCAGGGACAAGGTGTGGTCTAGCATCAGGCACCCCTCAGAATGCCACATGGATGCCATGCGTTGTGCAGTTCACAAGCTGACATGTGTCATCATGAACAACCTTCTTTAGGTCACAACTCACAAAACCCAGTTTAAACTAGCATCAAGACAAAAGGGAACTTTCTTGGGTCATATAATTAAGGGGGGTCCTGGAATAGGTCCAGGAATTAAAATTGCAGCCAAGGGCTGCTCCTTCCTTCTCCTCTTGGCTTGTTCAGAGGGACTTCTGTGAATTTCAGGAAACGTGGCTTCTGGCAAAAATCCCAGTTGGACGAGTGAGAGAGAATGGACTTCCTCCCCCTTGTGTGCCAGATGTCCAGGGAAATGCTCCGCCTGTCTTTGAGCCAGACTTCTCCTGGCCTCAGTGTCTTACTGATTAATCAGTAGCTGTTTAGCTTTTATCACCATCTTACTTACTGTGTGTGTGTGTGTGTATATACACACACACATACATTTTTTCTTTTTGGTGGGATGTACCAGGGATTGAACCCAGGGGTGCTTAACCACTTAGCTATATCCCAGCCCTTTTTAAAATTTTTATTTTGAGACAGTCTTGCAAAGTTGCATAGGACCCCACTAAGTTGCTGAGGCTGGCCTTGAACTTACAATCTTCCTGTCTCAACTGTTGTGTGTGTGTGTGTGTGTGTGTGTGTGTGGTACTGGGGATTGACCAAGGGTCTCAAAGCTAGGCAAGTGCAGTACCATTGAGCTACATACCCTAGGCCCTATTCTATATTTTTAGTTTACGTATTTCTTCATTTATTGACTGTTTTCTTCTTCCTTCCCCAGTGAAATACAAATGGCATGAGAGCTGATACTTTGTCTGTTTTGTCTAGATCATACCATTCTCCTTGCTGTATGTAGGGGCTTGGTTCCATGACCCCTGTGTATACCAAAATCTTCAGATACTCTAGTCCCTTAAATGGTTCACTATTTGCTTATGCCCTCCTCACATCCTCCTGTGCACTTTAAGTCAACTCTACATGACTGACAATACCTAATGCAATGTGCTAGGTAAATAGTTTTTATACTGTATTATTTAGGGAATAATGACAAGAAAAAATCTGTATGAGTTCATTATTATTTTATATTTTGCCAGAAATTGAACCCAGTACCTCACACTTAATAAGCCTGCAGCCTACCACTGAGCTACATTCCTTAGAGTTGATTACTTTTTTCAGTACTGGGGATTGAACTTTTTTTTTTTTTTTTAAGAGAGAGAATTTTTAATATTTATTTTTTAGTTTTTTGGTGGACACAACATCTCTGTTTGTATGTGGTGCTGAGGATCTAACCTGGGCCTTATGCATGCCAGGCGATCCCGCTACCCCTACCCCTACCCCTACCCCTACCCCAACCCTAAGCCACATCCCTAGCCCCGGGGATTGAACTTTTGACCTTGTACTAGGTAGGGAAGTGCTCTACTACTGAACTGCATCCCCAGTCCCTTCTCCCCCTTTATGAGTTGGACTCTCTGTATGTTGCTAAGGCTGGTCTTGAACTTATGATTTTCCCATCTGGGCCTCCCTAGTAGTTAGAATTACAACCATGTGCCACTATACCTGACAGATGCAATTTTTTAAAAGATATATTTTTGATCCATGATTAGTTAAATCCACTCATGTAGAACCTGGGAATATAGAAGTACAGTTGTATTTATAATGTCCTGGCACAGTAGATGAGTTTATAAATATTTGTTGTATTAATTAATGAACGCATACCAGACAGCATATACTTTCTCATTTAATCCCCCAATCCTATGAGGTAGGTACTGTTATCTTCATTTTATAGGTTGGGAAAACATGGCATAAGTTAGATAATTTATACATGGTCACGTTCCTAGAAAGTACAGAAGCTTGAAATACTAGCCAATGCCATTAGATAAGAGAAAGAAATAAGAGTCATCAACACTGGAAAGGTGGAGAGAAGATTCTCAGTATTTCAATCAAAATATCTCTGATTCAATTACTTTCAACCCTAATATTACTAATATAGGAATAATTATTAAGACCTTTCACTTTCAAGCTGCAGAGATAAAAAATAAAAAACAATCTATTTATTTGTCCCCCTTTCCTCAGTGGCCTGATTGCACCAAGAGAAGGCCCAGGGGGAAGAAGAAGAAACGATACTGTGGTTACCAGAGCCTGCAATGCCAACAGTGACAAGGAGGAGAAGACAATCATGAAGAAGCTGTAAGTCAACTTGCTATCCCTGTTATGACTAAATGGTGGCTCAGGAAAGTCTTGGGGGCAAGGGAAGATTGGTCAGCTGCCAGGGCTGGGAGTTCCTCCTACTGGTGGTAGTGCTGTATCTGACAGGAAAACTCAGTGTGAGGACATCCTAAGTCTGAGCACTGAACATACACCCATCAGTACTGGGAAAGTGGAGAGGAGACTTGGTATGTGAATCAGAATCTCTCTGTCTCTTGTACTTTCAACCATAATATTATTAATATAATTATAAAATTATTTGCAGCTTCACTTTCCATGGTTTCAATTAACCGTTGTCTATCACAGTCTAAAAAATATTAAATGGAAAATTCCAGAAATAAACAATTCATGAGATTTATTTATTTCTACAGTGCTGGGGGTTAAGTCCAGGGCCTTGAGCATGCTAGATAAGTGCTCCACTACTGAGCTGAGAATCGAACCCACTACTTCAAACATGCTAGGCAAGTGCTCTACCACTGAGCCACAGTCCCAGCTCTTGAGTTTTACTTTGAGTGTTGTTCTGAGCCATTTGATGACATGCAGCACCTCCTACTTCCTGATCTTGGAAGTGCGTCATTCGCTTTTCCAGAGTATCCATGCTGTGTGTACACTATGCCTGTTAGTCACGTGGTAGCTGTCTTGGGCATCAGATTGACGATTTCTGAATCATAGTGTCACAAGGTCTTTGTTCAGGTGACCCCTATTTTACTCAGTAATGGCTGCAGAGCTTGAGATCCATGATGCTGGCAATTAGGATGTGCCACCGAGAATCTGCAAAGTGCTTCCTTTAAGTGCAAAGTCGAAAGTTTATCACAGTTATGTGTATTTAGAAAAATATAGTATCTATAGGGTTTCGTACCATCTGCAGTCTGGGGTGTCACCGGGGGTCCTGGAACATATCCCCAGCAGATAAAAAGAGACAATTGTGTATTAATTCATGGAATCATCACAACAACCCTATTAGGTAGGCACTATTAATCATTCCCATCTTATAGATGGATAAATAGATATAAAGAGGTAAAGTAATTTACCCAAGTCCAAACAGGTGGGCGACAGTGAGTTGAGATCTGGGCCAGTTCTCCCTCGTGTCTGTGCACCACGGTGGAGCCCCATTCGGCCCTTCTCATGTGAAATTCAGATTCTCAGGAATCAAGTCAGCGGACATGTGCTTCTCGGTGCCAGGTGTTGGGACAGTGAGACTCTTGTCCTCACCCCACACGGAGGCAGACAGCTGTTGTTCTGGCTGCTCTGGGAGGTCTGTCCCCTAGATGGAGACCGAGAAGTAACCTAGACCAGGGTCTCACACTCAATGTCTGTGGGCCCAGTACTTGGTGCAGAGGAAGAATGGGCATGTGGGGCAGGGCAGGAGCCATTTGTCCCTCAGCTCTGTCTGGCCAAGGGATAACACGCTGTCAGAGGTTCTGATTCCATGTGTGTGTGTGTGTGTGGGGGGCACTAGAGATTGATCTCAGGGGTGCTTGACTACTGAGCCACATCCCAGCCCTTTTTGTTTTTATTTAGAGACAGGGTCTCACTGAGTTGCTTAGGGCCTTGCTAAGTTGCTGAGGCTGGCTCTGAACTCAAGATCCTCCTATCTTAGCCTCCTAAGTGGCTGGGATTACAGGCATGTGCCACCGTGCCTGGCGGGAAATATTTTTGAGGGGTCAGAGATTCTGGGTTACTTTCCAGGACCAATTTAGGATTCTTTTGTTTCTTTTTTCTTTTCTTTCTCTCTTTTTTTTTTTTTTGGTGGGCTGGGGGGCTGCTGGGAATTGAACCCAGGGTCACACTGTACTACTACTCACCTACATTCTCAGCCCTTTTGATTTTTTGTATTGAGACAGGGCCTCCCTAAATTGCCCCAACTGCCCTTAAATTTGCAATCCTCCTGCCTCAGCCTCCTGGGTAACTGGGATTACAAGCGGGAGCCACTGCACCTAGCTTGTATTTTGTTTCTTGAGATGGGGTCTTGTTGACATGGCCCAGGCTGGCCCTGAATTCCTGGGCTGCAGTCTTCCTACTTCAGCCTCCCCAGGAGCTGGGAGGACAGGCAGGTGCCACTGAGCTAGGCTTTTCTTTTCCTTCTTTCTTTCTTTTTTTTTTTTTTTTTTAACCTCAGGAACAGGGTTGAGTTAATGATCTGCAGTTCCTGCACAGGTCTTCATTGTTAGCACAAAACACTTTCTTATTTATTCCCTTTTCATTCCCATCCCCCACTCCCCTCTACTTCCCAGCCGCCCTCCCCCACCAGCCACTGTATGGAATTTATTTATTTATTTATTTTTGAGAGAGAGAGAGAGAGAGAAAATGATTTTAATATTTATTTTTTAGTTCTCTTAATATTTATTTTTTAGTTCTCGGCGGACACAACATCTTTTTTTGTACATGGTGCTGAGGATCGAACCCGGGCCGAACGAATGCCAGGCGAGCGCTCTACCGCTTGAGCCACATCCCCAGCCCCCACTGTATGGAATTTAATATGTATCATTTTACTTGACTGCATTTCTAACCCATGTTTATTGTTCTGTGCGGATGTGTTTTCAGTAGTAGCTTAAATTTTGTTTCAATGCTTTATTCTGTTTCCCAGTATTTTTTTTTTAAATAATAATATTTATTTTAAATCTTTTTAAAAATTAATTAATTAATTAACTTTAATTAGGTATATATGACAGCAGAATTCATTTTGATTCATTGAACACAATTGCTGCACAACTTTTCATTTCTCTGGTTGTACATGATGTTGCATTGCACAATATATGTAGTCATACATGTACTTAGGGTCATGATGTCCATCTCATTTCACCATCTTTCCTGCCCCCACCCCATTCCTTCCTCCCCTTTGTCCAATCAAGTTTCCTCCATTTATCCCATACCTCCCCACCCTCATTATAGATCAGTATCCACTTATCAGAGAGAACATTCAGCCTTTGGTTTTTTGGGATTGGCTTATTTCATGCAGCATGGTATTCTCCAACTCTATCCATTTACTGGCAAATCCCATACTTTCATTCTTCTTTAAGGCTGAGTAATATTCCATCATGTATTTATGCCACAGTTTCTTTATCCACTCATTTATTGAAGGGCATCTAAGTTGTTTCCACAGTTTTGTCACACTCAATTGTGAATTGAGCTGCTATAAACATTGATGTGGCTGCGTTCCTACAATATGATGATGTTAAGTCCTTTGGGCATAAACCAAAGAATGGGATAACTGGGTCAAATGGTGGTTCCATTCCAAGTTTTCTAAGGAATCTCCATCCTGCTTCCCAGATTGGTTGCACCAATTTGTAATCCCACCAGCAATGTATCAGTGTGCTTTTTCCCAACATTTATTGTTGTCTGTATTTTTTAAAAAATATTTATTTTTTAGTTATAGGTGTACACAATATCTTTATTTTATTTTTATGTGGTGCTGAGGATCGAACCCAGTGCCTCATGCATGGTAGGCGAGTGCTCTACCTTAAGCCACAACCCCAGCCCCATTTGTCTATATTTTTTATAACTGCCATTATGACTGATGTGAGATGAAATCTTAAGTTTTGATTTGCATTTCTCTAATTACTAGAGATTACATTTTTTTCATATACTTGTTGATTATATATCTTCTGAGAAGTGTCTGTTCAGCTTTTATTTAAATTTTTCTTTTAGTTGTAGTTGGACACAATACCTTTATTTTATTTATTTGTTTTTATGTGGTACTGAGGATCGAACCCAGGGCCTTGCATATGCTAGGCAAGCGCTATACTGCTGAGGGTGAGCCCCAACCCCAACCCCTTATTTTAATTTTTATATTTTTTGTACTGGGGATTGAACCCAGGGATGCTTAACCCCACTGACCACATCCCCAGTCCTATTTTTATATTTTTTTAGAGGTAGGGTCTTGTCACGTTGCTTAGGGCCTCACTTAATTGCTAGGGCTGGCTTTGAAGTCAAGATCCTCCTGCCTCAGCCTCCTGAGCCGTTGGAATTACAGGTGTACACTACTATGCTGGCTCCTAGCTCTTGGGATCTCACTAAATTGCTGAGGCTAGACTCAAATTTGCCATCCTCCTGACTCAGCCTCCTGAGTCTCTGGGATTACAGGCATGTACCATCATGCCTGACTTTCTTTTTTTTCCCCCACTAAACATTTTTTTAAATTATTTTCACTGACCACCCATATGTATGTTCTTTTTAAAATTTTTTTTTTAGATGTTGATGGACCTTTATTTTATTCATTTATTTATATGTGGTGCTGAGAATTGAACCCAGTGCCTCATACATGCTAGGCAAGCGCTCTACCACTGAGCCCCAGCCCCAGCCCCAGCCCCAGCCCATGTTCTTAATTTTAATAATAGAGTTTGTTAACACATCCAAAAATTCTATCATTTCAACAGGTGATTCCTATAAGACATCATTAATAAGATATTTTCCATTCTGTGTGTTATCTGCTGTTTATTTAATGTACAGCACATTTCAGTTAAGACTCGCTGCATTCTGAGGGCTCGGGGGCCACATGTTGCTGGGGCGGCCGTATTGAACAGCTCAGCCCTGGCAGGTGCATGCTGAGAATCTTCAGCTCTTGAGAACTGAGTCCAGATGATTTTCTTCTTTCTTTCTTTTTTTTTTTAATAATAGGTAAAATATTCATAACATAAGATATACCATTCTGACCATTAAGTGCACCACTCCAGGAGTTTACCGCATTAGCACATCTATTAATTACCATTATTACCTCCACGACCTTTTCATCATCCCCAGGTGCAACCCTGTGCATTAAACAATAACTCCCTGTTTTCCTTTCTACCAACTTTTGGTAATTTCTATCCTACTTTCTGTCTTCACACATCTTCCTGTAGGTGAAACCCTACATTTGTACCTTGCGTCCAGTTGATTTCAGTTAGCCTAGTGTCCTCAGGTCCATCCGTGGTATAGCATGTGTCAGAACCTCACTCCTTCCTCAGGCTGAATCATATTTCATTGTATGGATGGACGTATTTTGTTTATTCATTCATCTGTTGATGAGTAAGCACCGTTTCTAAGATCCTTCCAGACAGCAGTGTGAGGTTCCACCAGTTGCTTCTCACCCCAGCCTAATCCTTCGCACAGTGAGGGGCCCCCAGGTTGCCAGCAAAACCACCCCCATTCCTATGAAATTCAGATTTTCCAGGGAGATGCCTCCATGAGTGAAGCTGTTGGGCTATGAGCTACGCTGGTCAGGGGCCTGCCAAGAATCAGATGTCACACTCAAATAGGCATCACTGAACAAGTGGTGGCCCCACCTGTAATCCCAGTGACTCTAGAGGCTGAGGCCAGAAGATTGCCAAGTTTGAGGCCAGCCTGGGCAACTTAGTGACACCCTGTCTCAAAAGGAAATTTTTAAAAAGGGCTCAGTGGTACAGTGTCCTGAGTTATGTCCCCAGCATACGTACACACACACACACACACACACACAGGTGGGGAGGTAAAGAGATTCAGCGAAGGGACATTTTGCAGATGTGAGGTAAGCGCAAGGGAACCTTGGGGCGTGGAGAAGCACTGCAGGACTGTTGCCCAGGGGGACTGTGTGACTGCTCAGTCTGAGGGCAGAGGCCGAACAGCTGGAGGATGAGAGGAAATCAAGCAGAGGAACTGCGATGATGGGGCCTGGTGGGAAACTGAAAACAGATCCCGTGCCTCTCTTCTCCCCTGCCTTTCCTTCCAACTTCTCCAGGTCACTGAGCCCAGCAGAAGCTGGAGGAGGGGAGCCCAGGGCAGCGAGGGAGGGGATGGACCTAGCTGGGGGCACGTTCTTAAGTGGATGAGCAGCACCAAGCGGTCTGGAATGGCCTCTCGAGGCTGCTTTCTCCAAAAGACCACCTGAAACCAAATTTATTCATTTATTTTTGGTACTGGGATGAACCCAGGGGCACTTGACCCCTGAGACACATCCCCTGTCCTTCTGTGTGTTTTATTTAGAGATGGGGTCTCACTGAGTTACTTAGGACCTTGCTAAATTGCTGAGGCTGGCTTTGAACTCGCAATCCTCCTGCCTCAGCCTCCAGAGCTTCTGGGGTTACATGCGTGGCCACTTCAGCCGGCTCGTTCATTTGTTCAGTGCATATTTAAGCTGGGCATGTGTTGTGCTCCTATAGTCCCTGGTCCTTGGAGGCTGAGGTGGGAGGATGACTGGAGCCTGGCAACACAGAGACCCTGTTTGTGGGGGGGAAGAAGAGAGAAAGAAAGAGAAGAAATGACATGGAAGATGGCGGGTGGAGCTCGGTGGTGGAAGCATGTTGAGCATGCTCTAGGGCCTGGGCTCAACCCGGCACTGCAAGAAAAAGAAAGACAAAAGTCAAGGTTACCGTTGTTCTGGATGCTAGAGACACAGAGATGGAGTCTCTGCCCCAGTGGAGCTGGCACCCTGGTGGGGACAGGAGGAGAGAGAACTGGCACAGAAATAAACTGCAGGGAATTTCGGAGAGCTACAGTGCTATGAAGACCATCAGACACAGTGCCATAGTGCCAAGCAAGTGACCTGGGGAGTCCTGAGAGGCATCTGTGAGGAGGTGACATTCAAGCCAAGCCCCAAAAGTCAATAAAAATTGAAGGCAGATGGGACAGTGGGAATAAAGGGCCTCAAGGTTGCAGATAGCTTAGGGGACAGAAGGACAGGGAGGCTGCACAGTGAAGACAATGGAGGTGGAGAGCCAGGGGTCCTGCTGGGAACAGCTGGGAGTGAGGTCAGCACGTGTGCAGTAAACACATCCTCTGGCTTCCCTGGTGAGGTTGGGGGCCTCTTCCAGGCAAGGCAGTGAGGAGCGGCCCGCTCCAGGCAGGGGTCTGTGGTGTTCGGCTCAGGCTCTCAGGGTATCCAGAAGGCATCCACTTCTGGGGGAGTTCTCTGGTCGCTTATTGAACTTCTAGCCTGATGTGACAGAAATGAAACATCTGTCCTTTGCACAAGCACAAGGCCATAAGTCGTGGTCGGATGAGCTTATTGAGCCGTGGAAAGAATGAATGAATCAAGGAGTGACGCTCTGGAGAAGGGGTCAGGCCCAGGAGGAGGACTTCTGACTTGATCCCGAGGACATGGGAGCCCCGGGGGGGGGGGGGGGGGGGGCTAAGCTGAGGAATGGCTTGGTCAGCTGCGCACGGTGGAGGACAGGTCCTCTTGGCTGCTGCTTTCACACGTAGGTGTCTGGCATCCCTGGGAGGTTGCATGCACGCTGTGGTGGCCTGGATGGGGGTGGTGTTACCACTGTTGACTGGTGACGAGTTCTTGCTTCCCCAATGTTGAAGAATAACACCAAAGAAGCACGCCGAGGCAAGGTCAGAGTAGAAATTAGAAGTTTATTAAAGGACAGCAGAAAAGACTTCTCCTGGAGGAAGAAGAGGACCCAAGAGGTAGAATCCGTGGAAGTGAGGTTGTTTCCCCTTTTTATAGTTTTGGTGATGGAATGTAGGTTGGAAGGCCCGAGGGGTGGGACACAGGTGGGCCAAAGAAGTAATCTGGTCAGGAAGGACTTCTGAGTCAGCACCTTTTTGCTGGGGGCTGTTCATTAACATTTCTTTGAGGTGGACTTTGGCCTAGGGCCTTTTTGGGACTTCATTAACATTCCATGAGTTGTCCTGTGTTTCCCTGAGTCATTCTCAGCATGGTCTCCATTTTAGATTTCACTCAATATTAGACCCGATTTACCTAACTACACTGACTACCTAACTTTAAATCTGGCTTCAGTGGCAGAGGAGAAGTGGCAATACCAGGAATGTGTTCGGGATGCAATGACTAACCTGCGGCAGATGGCTGGCCAAGGACGCCTGCCAGGCCTCTGGCATGAATGACTTGGAGGTGGGGGTGTCGTTTCCTGAGACAGGAGGAGTGACAGGGTGGGGAGCATGTTACTGGTTCAGGGGAGGATGGGCCTGGCACAGCTGTGACACCAGCATCCACATGGGGGGACAGGCTGCTGGGCGGATCAGGGGCTGGCCCTTAGGACACGACTAGGCCCAGCACCGAATGTTGGCCCCGCATGTCCTGGCCTCTCTCTCCAGGTTGTACTTTGTGACCAGCCCAACATTGTTCTAAGCTCTTTGTGAGGGAGAGGTCACCTAAGTTTGGTGTTCCTGGCTCTGGGGAGACCTTTATAGGTTTTGTCTGTTCTACCTGGGACTCCATGTGTTATTCATTGCACAGGTCTGTTTTATAATTGTAGGTTAACATTGAAAAGTGATATTTTTGGGTTGGGGATGTGGCTCAAGCGGTAGCGCCCTCACCTGGCATTCTCGAGGCGCTGGGTTCGATCCTCAGCACCACATACAAATAAAGATGTTGTGTCCGCCGAAAACTAAATAATAAATATTTTAAAAAAAATTTCTCTCTCTCTTAAAAAAAGAAAAGTTATCTTTACCTTTATTACAAAACTTAAAAAAAAAATGGTGCATGCCTATAATCCCAGTGGCTTGAGAGGCTGAGGCAGAAGGATCACAAGTTCAAAGCCAGCCTCAACAATTTAGCGAGGCACTAAGCAACTCAGTGAGACCCTGTCTCTAAATAAAATACAAAATAGGGCTGGGGATGTAGCTCAGAGGGAAGTGCCCCTGAGTTCAATCCCCAGTACCCCCCCCCCCCAAAAAAAAAAAGAAAGTAAATAAAATATTAAAAAGAACTAAGGATGTGGCTCAGGTGTTAACTGCTCCTGGGTTCAATCCCCAGTACCAAAAAAAAAAAAAAAAAAGTTCCATACGCCATCTGTCAGGGTGGCACAGTGACAATGTGAATCTGGACCCAACTCCTGGTTGCACAGCCCACTGTGTGAAATGGGGCCTGTTCCTTAGCCTCATGGGACCTCAGTTTGCTTTCTATGAAACAGATATTAATTGTGTGACAGCAGAATTGCTGAGAGTGTGACTCGGGCTGATGGACAGAACACTCCGAATAGAGTTTGACCCATAAGAAGCCTGAGTAAATGTTTGAGTCATGGCCCACAAGAGTGGCTTGCTCTCTGCTCACTCTGCCCCTCTCTCCACCCAGGTTCTCCTTCCGGTCTGGGAAGCAGACCTAGATCAAAGCCGTGACCTCTGACCTCAGACTTGACCACAGCAAGATGCCCTCCAGACCATCTCCCTCCGCGTCCAAACTGTTTTTGCTCTTTTGCTTCCGAGGAAGGAGCGGAGGTTGTCACAGGCTCACCTTCTCACGGCCACAGAACTGGACACCCTGGAACTTCTGGCCAGGGCGGGCGACGGGGCCCCAAGAAATCCAGAAAGCAGAAGGAGTGTGAGATAGAGCGACCTCCTGCCTCTAGGGCCCGGAGAGGCCTCCAGTGTGTGGACACCTCCGGTCCCACCAATGCCCCAGGCCTTTGAAGGTGGCAAGGTGGGGGAGAAAGGAGGAGTACGTGGTACTGACTTCCCAGTGCCCTCTTCACTGGTACTTGGCGAATATTCGATTTAGCTCCTGTGACTTCCTTTACATGATTTTGTATTAAAGTTAAATGACTTTTGTACTTCTTTCTTTTTCTTCTTTTTTCTTCCCTTCAGTATTGGGGATTGAACCCAGGGGTGCTTAGCCACTGAGCCACAGTCCCCAGCCTGTATATTTTTTATTTTGAGATGGGGTCTTACTAAATTGCTCAGGGCCTCGCTAAGTTGCTGAAGCTAGCCTCAAAATTGTGATCCTCCTGCCTCAGTCTCCTGATCTGCTGGGAGACGTTTATATTTTCTATAGCTATTTTACAGTGAATTAAGGTAGAATTAAGGTGGTGTATATGGCGTGTGTGTGTGTGTGTGTGTGTATATATATATACACACATTTTTTTTTTGAGGGGGGTACTGGGGATTGAACCCAGCAGCCCTCTACCAATAAGCAACATCCTCAGCCCCCATCCCTTTTTGAGAAGGGTCTCACTAAATTGCCCAGGCATCCTCCTGCTTCAACTTCCCACGTTGCTGGGATTTCAGGTGAGTGCCACCATACCTGGCTGCAATTATAATTTTAAGAGGCTATTAATTTTAAGGCTCATCTTGATTTCTTAAGATGTTAAAATGTGAAAAACAAATGGACATTTAGGAATCTATGAAATGCACCACAGAGAGTGCAGGTGGCCATACTTTACAAATAAATGAATGAGCCTGCTGAACATGTCCCAGGGGTCTGTCTTCTTGGTAGGTGACACTAACTTACCATGGATTACCTGATTTGTTCTTCATAACAATTCAGGAAACTGTGTGTGGTGAATCACACTTGTAATCCCAGTGACTCAGGAGGCTGAGGCCCAGCCTGGGCATCTTTGCAAGACCCTGTTTCAAAAAACAAAAAAAAAGGTGGGCCAGGGATATAGCTCAGTTGGTAGAGTGACTGCCTTGCATGCGTGAGGCCCTGGGTTCAATCCCCAGCACCACCATAAATAAATAAATAAAAGCCTGGAGGGTGGGGTTGTAGCTCAGTGGTAGATTGCTTGCCTAGATGTGTGAGGCACTGGGTTCAACTCTCAGCACCTCATAAATAAAGGTTCATCAACAACTAATAAAATATTTTAAAAATAAAAGCAATAAAAGGCTGGGCTGTGGCTCAGCAATCATGTGCCCCTGGGATCAATCACCAATACAGGTGGTGGGGAGGTGGGCAGGGGGCAGGAAGGACTTGAGGCAGCTCATGTTCATGCGTACCTTTCACAAGGTCACACAGGGAAGTGGCTGCCTGGGGTACAAAGGCAGACCTAATCCTGTGCCCTGGTTCTTGGTGACCAAAGTTTCCCACATGCCTTGCTCAGTTCCCTCTTAGATATCTCACCCATGTTGTGTCCTCATAAGCCCATGAGGTGGGTGTGTTGCTGTTGATCAGCCATTTCTGTAACACCTGCATCTTGAGATATGGGGTCCCCTTGTCTAAATGCTCTCCTGCTTTCTCCCTCATGGGGACAGATGGCAAGAGCCCCCTCCAAAAGCAATGTCATGTTGAGATGACCCTGGGGACTCTGGCTCCCTGGGAGAGACTCATGGAAGTCACAAGAAATGCTTGGAGCACAGCCCCTGGTCATTGGCTGGGGCATGGGCATCTTGGAAGATGGGTCCTGGGAGCTTTTCTCCCAGAGGCGGGTTCTGAGTAACCACAGATGAGAGCTGCCACATCCCTGGGCTCTAAAGCTCCCACGACACTGGCTTCCAACCAGCATGGTCCCAGGGAGGGGCAGGCTTAGAAGCTGGTATTTGAGCCCTGACTCAGAAGGCACCAGAAATGGTTGCAGCAATAATTATCTTTTAAAAATGAAGATCAGCCAAGCTCAATGGTGTTCACTCGTGATCCCAACAACTCAGGAGGCTAAGGCAGGAGTATCACAAGGTTGAGGCCCACCTGGACCTACCTGAGCAAGACCCTGCCTCAAAATGAAATTTTAGACCAGGCACTGTGGCGCACATCTGTAATCCCAGTGACTCAGGAGGCTTGAGGCAAGAGAATCATGAGTTCAAAGCCAGCCTCAGCAATTTAGTGAAGCCCTAAGCAACTCCCTGAGACCTTGTCTTTAAATAAAATACAAAAATGGTTTGGGGATGTGGCTCAATGGTTGAGTGCCCCTGAGTTCAATCCCAGTACCAAGAAATAAAATAATAAAATAAAAATTAAAAAGGGGCTGGGGCTGTTGCTCAGTGGAGGAGCACTTGCCTAGCATGCAGAAGGTCCTAGGTTAAATCTCCAGTACTGCAAAAAAATAAAATACAATCAATATAGTGACTAAAGATCAGAACTTGGAGGCACTAATTAGCCATCAGTCCTGAGCACTTGTAAAATACTTTTTGTGTGTGTATGGTGCTGGGGATTGAACCCAGGGCCTTGTGCATGCAAGGCAAGCACTCTACCAACTGAGGTATGTCCCCAGCCCAAAACACCAATTTTGAATCCTGTTAATAGCTAACAGTGATACTGAGAATTATCCATGTGCAAAGCACTAGTCCAAGTGCTTTTTACATATTAACTCACCAAATCCTCACGTTTGCCCATGTCAGTCCATCTCTCCATGCCATGCAGGAGGAAACTTTACTTACTTAGGAGCTCCAGTTCCTACCCCACCACCAGGCCACAGTCCCCTCCAATATAAATAGTAACACCTGTGACTTAGTCCTCAGGGCACCCCTATAAGGCAGGTGAGCCTGATGGACGGGTTTAAGAGGGGAAGTATCTGTGTCCAAGGTCGTAGGGCTGACAACACTTAAGCTGATGATACACCTCTCAAATCCTCAGTCACAATCTACCCAAGTGCTCAAGTACTGGGATTGAGGGAATGAACGGAAGGAGGGCAGTGGGATGCATAGTGGGGATTGAGAGCCTGGTAGGAGGGTCTCCAGCACGACAGACCTGGGTGGATGGTACTGAGCCACCTGAGAATTGGGTCTAACCAATTATAGCATCTAAAATTTATGGTGCTTACTACATGCCAGACCTTGTCCTAGGGCCTAAAATTTCTCATCTTCACAAGTGCCCTATGACTCCTGACCCCTTACTCAAGTGAGGAAACTGAAGAGTTTGGATTGCTCAAAATTGTATCAGCAAGACTGTCTGGATTCCTAGGTCATTCCCCAAAGCTGGTTCTCAAACCCTACGTATTTCTACTTCTACCTTATAAAAAGAGAAAGACACATAGTTGGCCTTGCCTGGCAATAAATATTTTAATTTTTGTTTCATTTTTATGATGACAAATAATTTTCAAGTTTATTTCCTTTTTTTTGTTTGTTTGCTTAAATACAAAGCTAAACCACAAACAGGTACAACCAAGACATTTTATCTCACATTTAAAAGACTCCTGCCGGATCCTCCTCCAATTTGCTGACCACTGACCAGGCTAGTGGGGGTGGGGGGAAGACTTTCTTAGGTAGCACCGTCATGAGGCCCAGGATGGGGTAAGGATGAGGACAGGTTCTCACACCTGTCTCCATTCACATTTACCTGGGACCAGGGTGGACAGGAGCCCCAGCCCCATGGACAGAAGGTGGACAGTGAGTGAGAATCAGACCCCTGGGGAGGGAAGAGGAAGCCAGCTACTCCTCCTGGTATCACATTCAAGCTGAGAACTGAGCCTTGTCCTTGCTCCCTGGCTAAGGGCCCTGCCCGCTCCATGTGCACCAGATGCCTTTCTTTGAGGCTGGTGGAGACGGCTGGGCGGGATCCTGAGCTCTAGGCTCACAATTCAGGTTATGGCTGCGCTTCACAGGAAGGACACCAGGTGGTCTGACAACAGAAGGCCTCACAGCAGATCTGGAACTTTCAACCCAGCAGAACTGGGCAGGTGGGTGAGGGGATCGGGGAAATAATTTCTGGTCCCGCTACAAAACTTTATTTTTGATTAGAATAGAGTACCATCTCAAATCTCTTCTACAAAAACAAAAAAACCCCAAAACAAAAGAAATCGCAACCACTTCACTCACTTCAAGACCTATATACATGTAAGTTGTTCTCTGTGGTTTTTTTTCCTTTTTTGACTTTTTTTTAAAATTTTTACTATTATTTTTTTAAAATAAACTCAGTGTTCACATTTCTATAAAGAATTAACCCAGTTTCAGGAAGCCCTGCCCTGGCAGGTGCAGGGAGCAGCGCTGTCCCTGCCTGCCTCTAGGGTGACTACCCACCCTGATGCTTCAAGGTGCCCGGAAAAGCAGCCGCCCGTGGAAGAGAAAGTCTAGGCCTGGCCGCGGGCCAGTAAGCTTTCAAGAAAGCAGAGGGGAAGACTAGCTTACTGCGAAACCCTTTTAAAAATATTTCATACACTTCAAGGTGCGCCTGTCGAGACGTGAGGAGACAAGAGCTTGGAGACATCCCGCCCAGGGAGGCAGCGGTGCCCTCACACCCGCCCGTTCTGGGACATCAGGGTGTGCGGGCAGGCCCGCTCTTCACCTGGAGGCAGGAGACACCCCCCCCCCCCCCCCCCCCCCCCGGCTTCCTAGTTCATGTTTGACTCTTTCCTCTAAAACCTGTGCCGAGTCTTTGACTGCATGCACGGGAAGCACAAACGTTCAACTTGTATGCAAAAAAGGTACAAAAACAACTAGAATATAAAAGTTTTGGTAATATAAGGCCATCTGTTCAAGTCCACCTTGGAAACCTGTAACAGATATTTAAATACTACAGTGAAAAGGCATCTTAATATACTTTTTAAAAAGATCTGAAGTACTCCGCTAAGATTAAGTATGTAAAAAAAAAATCATTTCCCTTTGAGGGCACTTTGTCCTTTGAAGAAGGGAGGCGGGTGAGGAAGCCGATGGCGTCAATGCTTCAGCCATGGGTAGGCCTCGATGGAGGCCCTGCTGCGGTCCCCGTAGTCATACAGCAGCTCCTCCCCGGCTGCGATGTCGCGGGAGGCAATGAGGATGAGGTGAGGCACGCCATCGATGTCGTGCAGCTTCGTCTGGCAGTTCCCGCACTTGCTGTGATTGATCAGCCTTCCCAGGCGGTTTGTCTCTCTGGTGGCGTCCACGCTGGCGGGAGGGGGCAAGAGGGCATCAAAGTGATAAAGAGGCTTTTGATCCGGCAGAGCTGCGCCAGCTCCGCTCTGGTGGCATCTCAATCTAGAGCCACATTTTGGGCAATTCAATTCAAAAAGTGACTTTTGAGAGCCTGGAGTGGCCCTGGGTGGGGGCTTAGGGGTAGAATCCAAATGGCTCTTTATGGAGGCACCAGAGGTAGCTGCAGAGTTTGCAAAATAAATAAATGGATAAAAATCAAACCCATTGGGCATAGGAGAGAGTGGTCCTCCAGCCAGGTGCCCCAAGGAGAGGTCGGGGGAGCTGCCAGCAGGTTTCTGTGTGACACCTCTGCTCCTGGCCAGATGAAATGGCCTCTAGGATGTCTCTAATCCCAAATATTAAAAACAGGCAGCACTGCATCACAGTTGGATACAGACAGCAAGCACTACAGGGCCAGCCCGACCAATGCACAGGGAGCCCTCCACGGTTCCTGGCCCTGTGGTCGTCCTCTGTGCCCAGAAGGTGGGAAAGTCACTCAAATAGTGCACTTACCAGTAGGTTTTGCTCAGATACTGAAAATAATACATGTAGCAGCCCGTAGAGGGGTCTTGTGCATACAGAGCCTCTCGCTTCTTGGCGTCAGTGATCTCGATAAGGTCGCCGTGGTACTCCACCACAAAGTCACCCCGGGAGAACTGCTTGGTGGCGATCACGCCCCTGCCTTTGCCTTCAATGAGGTCAATCTGTCAGGAGGTGACAAGAGTGTTGTTGGTTGATAAGCCTGATGGATGCTACCAAGCCTGGAGGGCTTCCTGGAGCCTTGCATGTTCTTAACCAGCTTAACTGAGCTAGGCCTCAATAAAAACAAAATCCACTCCTGCCGGGGCACGGCTGCAGGGGCTTCACTTAGAGCACACGGCTGTGCAACTGCAATGCAACTGTAGGTGCCTTCCACGCCCCTGCAGAGCACCTCCGCGCCCATCTGCACAGCACTGTTCCATCAGATCCCAGCAGTCTGCTAGGTGGGTACTGCCCCATCAGCAGATGAGGACATTGAGGCAGAGCCACGTGTCCAAGGCCACAGGCTGGGAAGGGGTGCAGTGGGAAGTCAGCCCACAATGCACTGTGCTCTGGGTAAGGAGCAGGGCCTGTGTCCTGGCCTCCCCTGCACTCCTTCCTTTACCCTCCATGTTTGTCCTTGCTCTGTTATAAATGGAGTCCGAGGGTAGCTGCTTGAGGGGCCCAAGGCTTAAGTTTGGATCCTCCTAGATGGTGGGTGGAAAGGAAGCCTTCTGTCCCTTGGCTCCCAGTCCCCACAGAGTGGGGCAGTAACCCCCTCCTGACAGAGCCACTTGTGTTTGAAATACACTAAGGGCCAGGGGTGGAGCTCAGGGGTAGTGTGTGCTTGGCATGCATGAGGTCCTGGGTTCAGGATTAACCTTCCCCTTATACATGCACACACACAGAGAAAAGCAAAGGTCATGAACATGGTCATGTGGGAAAGGTCAGGACAAACTCAGCTGCTCTTTGAAAAGTCTGCCCAGGCGTGTTGCCAAGTGAAAGAAGCCAGGTGCAACCGGCCACACACTATGAGCTTCCATGGGTGTGGACTGGAGAGTCACTTCTGTGGAGAAGACAGCAGACGGTGGCGGGCAGGAGCTGGTGGGGGAATGGTGGGCACAAGGTACCAAGTTCCCATTTGGGAAGATGAAGCAGCTCTGGAAGTACACAGGGATGCTGGCTGCCCAAACTGAATGTTCTAAATGCCCCTGCATCATTCACTTTAAAGGCATGCATATTTTTAATGTGTGTGTGGTTCTGGGGACTGAACCCAAGGGTGCTTCACCACTGAGCCACATCCCCAGTCTTTTTTTTTTTTTTAAGACATGGTCTCACTATATTGCCCAGGCTAGCCTCAAATTTGCCACCCTCCTGCCTCAGCCTCGTGAATAGCTGGGATTAGTTTACATAATAAATGTTATGGGTATTTTACAATTTTTTAAGAAGTTTCTCAGGATAACATTTACATACGAAGCCCATCCATGCTCCCTTCATACAACAGTTTTCCTACCTGGCTTTTTGATCTGACTTGTCAGTGACACCTCAATAAAGGCAACAGGGCTGCTAGCCACAATCCTGGGGCCCTGGGAAGGAGGACAGAACCCCGCAAGCCCAGCACGCATCACCACCCTTACCTTCATGCCTTCTTCCTTCCCACTTTCAATCAGCTCATCTATTCTCTTCCTTTCTTCAGACTGGGTGGAGGAGAAAAGAGCAGTTTCAGCATTTACTCTAGGCTACACCACAGGGCCATGGCTGGTCTCTGTGACATGGGTCCCCAGAGCTGCCCAAGCCCCAAGCACCCCCCTTTCTTCATCATCATCTGTTGTGGACAACTGTCACCTGGAACCAGCTTCACCTGGAGCAGGAGGGACCCAGTGCTGGCCCAAGGGCAGAGGGGGTCTGTCATATCTTGGATCTTAAATGTCCCAAAGGCCCATGTGTTAAAGGTGTGGTCCCCAGTGTGGCACTACTGGGGGGCAGTGAAACCCTGAGGAAGTAGGAGCTAGAAGGGGTCTTCTGGTCACTGGGGACATGCTCTTGAAGGCACAGTAGGACCTCAGCCCTTCCTCCGCCTCTCTTCTTCTTGGCTATAAGGGGAGTGGTTTTGCTGTCACATACTTGCTCTGTGACATGCTGGCTAACCCAAAGCCATGGGGGTCATGGATTGAAACCTCTAAACTATGAGGTAAAAACAGAAAATCAAACTATACGCTGACCATCTCGGGTGTCTGATGCAGAAAGCTAACACAGGGCCTTCTAGATATGTTCTTCTCAGCGTGTAGCAGGAATCTAACTCCATACATAATTACTGTAGGAGGTTAGAGGCTGAGCCCTTTAGAGGACACGTGTGCTCCATACCCTTCCCTGCCCATCACCTCTGTGAGGCCCACAGAACTCTGCATCTCCCCAGGAGCCACGGCCATGGACAAGGGGCATCCCCGCCAGAGGGTCCACATGGCCCTGAGTGGAGAAGCTGGAAGAGTGGACATTCCCAGTCTCCCTTTTCCTATGGAGCTGGGCCCTGCTGCTCTCAGTGCATAGACACTATGGAACAAAAGGGACTATGTGAAGTCCGACTAGCAGCCTCAGGCCAGCGCAGCGCAGAAGCAGACCTCCGCCTAAAGGGACAGCAGAGACCAGCTCTCCCTGAACCAGCTCTCTACACCTGCAGTGGGCCAGACACTGTGATGTGTTGGGGACACTGGTGAATGGGACAGGTCTCTGCCTCCTTTCCACTCAAGCCACACCTTGCTGGTCTCCTGGCTGTCACTCTGCCACCCCACACCCCATTCTGCACTCAGCAGCGGGAGCAGTCTTTTGAAAAGGTCGAAGAGATCGGCCACTGCAGTGTTGACTTCAGAGTAGGCACTCACATCCCAGAGCTGGCTCCTTAGTTGTGACAAATTTACCAGAGTAACAAAGCCTCTGTGGGGACTCTCTGTACTATCTTTGCAACTTTTCTATAAATCTAAAACAATAATTACAAAATTAAAAGTTCATTTAAACAAAAACAAAGGTTCTACTGCTACTGGGATAAAAACCCAGACTTTCCTCTGTGGTCTGGAAGGTTCTGCAAGATCCAGATATCCCTCCCAGCCCCTATGCCCACCTACCCTGAGCCCACCACAGCCTCATAGATGCCCCTCGCCCCTCCAAGGCTAAGCTTGCTCCTGCCATGGGGTTTTGCATTCACTGCCCTTTTAAAAAAATGTATTGTGGTCCTAGGAATTGAACCCAGGGGTCCTCTACCACTGAGCTAGAGCTCTAGCCCTTTTTCTTTTAATTTTTTTTTTTTTGTAGTTACAGATGGACGGAATGCCTTTATTTTATTTGTGTATTTTTATGTAGTTCTAAGGATTGAACCCAGTGCCTCACACATGCTATGCAAGCGTTCTACCACTGAGCTACAGCCCCAGGCCTCCAGAGCCCTTTTTGATTTTTATTTTGAGACAGGGTCTCACTAAGTTATCATAGCTGTCCTCCAACTTGTGATCCTCCTGTCCCAGCTTCCCGAGGGCCTGGGATTACAGGCCTGCACTACTGTCCTTAGCACAATGGTCTTTTTAAATTGCTACTCATTCTCCACCTGAATGTAAGCTCCAGGAGCACAGGAGCCTGCCCTGCTCCCACTGGAGAATCCTGACTAGGACCTGGAGGTAGAGCAAACAAACCCCTTTAGCAACCACATGCACCTTACTCGTAGTGATGGCTAAAGTGTACAGATGAGGGACGGGGGCCACATACATGGGAGCAGGCGTGGAAAACCGGGGACAGGTAATTGGAATTTTCCTGCTGACACTGAACGCGGCCTAGAGGACCCCGAGCAGCTAGATGCCCTGAACACAGAGCCAGGGAGTTGGAATCTGGTTCAAGGCCAGAAGCCCAAGGCCTGCAAGCAGTTAGTTCTGGGCTTCCTAAGGAGAGTTCTGGCAGAATACAAGCTGGCCTCCAGCACATGGAGTGGTGTTGGCAGGGCCTGAGTGAGGGTGAGGGGGGCTTGTGGACAGAAGGAGATGCCTTTAACAGTGCCAGGGTGGGATCGGCAGTGACACCACAGGTCCAGCCCTGGGGCTGGTAGGGAATTAGAAAGGGCTGCCAAAAGGTGGAGCTCGCAACCCAGTGTGGCTGCCATGTTGTCCACACCCAGGCCAGCCAGCCTTGGGGCCCCTCCGCACAGCACGGCTGAAGGTAACTACCTAGGACCCATCCCGAGTTCAAATCCTGCAGCCTGATTCCTCTCTCCTGCCTCGGCCTGGACCCTGGACCCAGCTACCCATCCCCCACTTTGTCTCCAAGCTCAGTGAAATGTCTCAGAGGTTTTCATTTCAGTTTCACTCCCACCTACCTGGACCCCAGCCTGGGCCCAGTTCCTGCTGGCCTTGAAGGGCAGTGAGGTCAGACCAACTTCACCGCTCAGACAAGCCCCACTGGCCACACCCTGGGGTTTCCTCTGCACACTCAAGAGAGTACACACCCAGGCCCACAGCAGCCACGTTGGCTGGGACAGAGACAGCCTCACCCCTGGCCAGCAGCAGGCTTACTGCCATGGGCAGCAACAGCCCAGCATTCACTCGGCAGAGCCCACACACACACAGGGAAGGGCACAGCACAGCTGTTGCTCACAACTGGCTCCTGGTCTGTCCCCAAACGAGCTTTTTGTGTCTGCAGCCCAAGCTCTGAGAAGCACATGCACCTTCCCTCCCCAGCATGTACTCCAAGACTGAGCAGACCCCACTGCGTTCCTCTCTCCTCCAGGCCCAAGACCCCTGGCTTCCTAGTACAACAAGGTGAACTCAGCTGCCTGGATGGGAGCCCCAGCCTGCAGCTCCAGCCCTGGCTGGGAGGAGTCCGCTGGGCAGGCCCCGCCCTCCCTCTGCATCACTACATTTGGCAGTGACAAGCACAGCCTCCCACTGCCGGCCTGTTTTATAACAGCTCCTTCTTGGCCAAAAGAAACTGCCATTCTCCAAAAATAAAGCCAAAGTAGTTCTCTGGGGTTAGAAAAATGGACCCTGTTTTAATTTCTTTCTTTTTTTAAATAAAGCTCCCTCAATTAAAAATAAAAGCATGGTAGATCTGTGTATCTACATTTGCAGATTCAACATAACACGTGCTAGAGGAGTCTGGAAAGGTTGAGGCAGAGACACTGTCCAGCTGGGCTTCCTCCTTGTGCAGGAAGATGATCCTGAGCACCCAGGTCGAGAGGGCTGTGGGAGGGGAGTCAGGGTGTGTGTGTCTGTGTGTTGGGGCCCGGCCACACCCTGCAGTTCCGGAACAGGAAGGCAGTGGCCACGCCCACTGCAGCACACAGGACACTGCAGCCCCCTGCATGGCACATGCGGGTGTGGCTGCCACAGGCTGCCTGGCCTTTCTGCCTGAGTTCTCCACTCATTCTGCATGTTCCCAGCTGGCTAGGAAGCAATGGGGACGATAGTCACAGTTAACTGGCCTCACTGTGGAACGGGCACAGTCCTGTGTCCCCCACATCTGAACCCATTTCTTTATTCCCCTCACCAACCACGCCAGGCACTACTTTATCTCCTCATTCTACAGATAGGAGCGTGTGGCAGGGTAGGTGACCGACCTGTGCTTGCACAATCAGGAAATGGTTCCAACCGCTGCTCTTTACTATCCTGAACAACAACATGGAAACTTTTAGATTACAGATAGGGCAAGCCTCTGAAAGAAGAGGTGGCCTTTCCCACAATTCCAGCTCCAAATGGCTCTGCCAAAGTCCTGGAAAAGCCACCCTGACAAGAACACCTGGCTTTCTGTGCCCTATGATATAGGTTGAGCTTCTTCACAGAAGCCTCCCAACTGCAGCCCCCGATGACCCCAGCAAGCTCTTGGTGACCCCTGCTACAGGGAGGGCAAAACCAGCTCCAGAGAGACAAGAGGCCTGGCCCAAGATGACAGCATGAAGCCCAGGCCCGGGGGGCCACGCCACCCAACTCTACCTGCAGCTCGGCCTTGCTCTTCCTGGAGCTCCTCCGGACAGGGTAGAAGTCCGTGAGTTTGCGATTCTGTTGCGTTTTTCCTTGAGCTCTGGGTGAGAAGAGGAGAAAGCAACCATCAGGCCTGAAACCACACCAATACAGCTCCTTAAGAGGTGGCACCTTGGACACAATGTCACCTAACACCTCTGCCCACTGGGGCCTGGTGGCACATCAGCTCACCTGCCCGGGGGGCCTCAGAGACAAAGTACAGACTGTCTATTCTCATCAGGGAGGGACAGGCAGAGCAGGCCTTGTCGGCTCAGGCCACACTGAGGTGCTGGCATACAAGGACACCAGGATGAGGCCACAGGGGTCTGAGCCTCTGCCCGATAGGGGCTTAGAAGATGGACTGCTGAACCCCAGTGGGCACCCAAGCAGCCTTCTGGCGGTCACAGGAGTCAAACTGCTCTGCTCTGGGAGGAGAGATTGAGGGGACTTACTTTTTCCGAGGGGTCTGTTTTCCCTTGAGGGGCTTTTTCAGGGCCTGCTTGGCAACGGCTGCATTGGTAGAATCACAAGTCGAGGTTGGAGTTTTTGGAGGTTCTGCTGCTTCAGATTTTTGGTTTGGAAAAGGTGCCAGGGGACCTCTCCTGGCGTCTTTGATCTTCTGTTCTTCGGACTTCAGGGAGCTCCGGATGGCATTCCCAGCACTTCTTTTCTCTGCAGGGGAGGGTGGGAAAAGACGGGTTTATTTTCTACTCCACGTCTTCCAATCTTTAGACAGAGGATCATGAGAACCTCAGGCAGCAATGCCCAGCCTACTGAGCCAGGGCCCACCACGCCATTAAGGCAGAAGTGCCTGGTTCTAGTCTCTGACCCACCAGGCAGAGGATTTGGCCTTCTGCCTCTTGATAGGGGAGAGAGCCTGTGAGGCAAAGCACCACGGACGGCAACAGTGGCAGGAGCACCCAATCAACCGATTTTAGGAATTAGGTTTCAGATCCCAAAAAACAAGCTCACTTCCTAAAGCACGATAGTCCTGGTCCATGCAAGTAGGGGACAAAGGAGAAACTCTGTCCAAGCACTGCCCAGCATGCATCCTTTCAGATGCTTGACAAAACAAGTTCTCCTTCTCTCCTCTTTTTCTTTTCTATCTGTGGTGCTGGGGATGCAACCCGGGGCCTCACAGATGCTAGGCAAGCACTTTACCACTGAGCTATACACCTGGTCCTTTTTATTTTTTAGTTTTTCAAAAATATCTTGTCAATGGACCTTTATTTTTATATGTGGTGCTGAGAATCGAACCCAATGCCTCACACATGCCAGGCAAGCTCTCTACCACTGAGCCACAACCCCAGACCTACACACCTGGTCCTTTTGAATTTTTATGTTGAGACAGGTTCTAAGTTGTGGAGGGTGACCTAGAACTTGTGATTCTCTTGCCTCAGCCTCCCAAGTAGCTTGGATTACAGGCATGTGCCACTGAGCCTACCTAACAGGTCTTGTCCAAAGAGGGTTGAAGCCCCACGTTCACAGTGGCTCTTGGCACGGTGGGGTGGACAGGCTGGCAAGCTGATAGTCGCACTGTAAGTGTGTTCTTGACAAGCCTAGAGCCCTAGTGTTAGGGAACAGGGTTTTTTTTTTTTTGGTTTGTGTTTTTTTTTGTGTGTGTGTGGTGCTGGGGATTGAACTCAAAGCCTTGTAAACAATTTTTTAATGACTTACTTTTTTTTAAGATGTTGATGGACATTTATTTTATTCATTTATTTATATGTGGTGCTGGAGATTGAACCCAGTGCCTCACACATGCTAGGTTAAGTGCTCTACCACTGAGCCACAGCCCCAGCCCCCGTAATGATTTACTTTTTAAAGTAATATACTCTTGGTAGGAATGTAAAATGGCACAGCCACTTTGGACGACCTTCTGACATTTCTTCAAAACATGAAACATAGAACTACCATATGACCCAGTAATGCTACTCTAGGCAACTACTCGAGAAAATTAAAGACATATGTCTATACAAAAATCTGTACAAGAATGCAGAAGCTCATTCATAACAGCCAAAAAGTACAAACAATTCAAATGTCCATCGACATGTGAATGATTAAACAACGTGGTCCATCCACAGTAGACTGAGATTCAGCCACAGGAAGGAATGAAGCACAAAACACTACAACACAAATGGGCCTTGAAAATACCACTGCTGCATGAAGAGCCAGAAACAGAAGGTTATCTGCATATGATTCCACTGATATGAAATGACCATGACAAAGCCAGACAGAAAGTAGTGTGTGGCTGCCTAGGGTTGGGGGAGTCAGGGAGTAGAACACTGACTGCTCTTCATGGGCTTCTTCTTTTTATTTGTATGAGGTGCTAAGGATTGAGCCCAGGGCCTCGCATGTGCCAGGCAAGCGCTCTACTTCTGAGTCACAACTCAGCCTAACTTACATTATTTTTATGTGGTGCTGAAGATCGAACTCAGGGCCTCATACATGCTAGGCAAGTGCTCTACCACTGAGCCACAACCCAGCCCTCATGGGTTTCTTTTAAGGATGATGAAAATCTTCTGGAATCAGTCATCAATAATAGTTGCACAATCTGTGGCTATACTCAAAACCACTGAACTGTACATTTTAAAATGTTCAACTTTATGATACACGAACTACAGCTCAATAAATAAAAAAAATAAATAAGTATATCATGTGTGCTCACGCACACAAACAGTTAAGTTTTGCTTATATATATATATGTTTTTGCCTGGGAATAACTAACTGCAAGTTAAATGATAAGAAGTACGGAGCACTGTGACCATAAACAGAGTTTTCCTGAGAATGTTTATCCATGCTTAAAAGGATTAAGCTGCCGAAAGGATGTTTTTACTTTTCCCTTGTTTTAATTAACAATGCTGTATAAAAGGAGGAGAGAAAAAAGTAAAGACGGTGCTCATTTTCTATTGAATGTGTGTGTGCGTGTCTTTTTTTAAGCATCTCTGCTGTACCAGGAATTACAGATTGTCAGTGGGTTCTGACAATATCAATCCTGATCATTTTCACTCCCTTACATGCCTTCTTGAGTAGAACCTCAGAATATTGGGGTCAGTGTGGCAGGAGTCCCCATGAATATTCCCTCTGCGGTCAGTCTGCCATGGTAGAACTAGGGGTAAGAGCCTGGCCCTTGGGGTCTCCAAAGTACATTTGACTCCAAATTTTAATCATTGCCAGTTGGTAACACCATTAGCCAAATAAGTTAGCTTATCTGGGACAACATACATTTTGTCCTATCCCAAAATACACGTGAGGCTGGCTGGCTACCACAACAGCTTCCTGTCCCACACCTGAGTGGCAGGTGCTATCCTAAGTGCTGCAGGAACAGGAATGAGCAAGGATGTGATGCTGGCAGTGGGGAAAGCTGGCATCTAGAGAGTATCACAAAGCCATTCTGCATCTATGCTGAAATTGATCCTCTAGATAGCCTGCAGGTGAGGTAGGACTGCTCTTTCCCAACTTACAGATGAGACAACCAAGGTTCGAGGCTCGCAGAAGATAAGCAACCTCCCTGGCTCCTCCTTCTAGATGGCAGTTAGGATTAGAACCCAACTCATCTGAGATTAAAATAGTATCACTCTGTGTACTGGGGGAAATCAAGCTGAGGGCAGGCTCCAGCCTCCATGCCTGGTTCTCAGACCTGGCCCCAGAGGTCAGGCTCCATCATCACTTAGGATGTTATCTGTCGGCAAATACAAGGCTTCCCCCATGGAGCCGCTGGGAGCCAGAGGCTCTGGTCCTGTCAGGCAGGTTTTAACTAGTTGGGAAAGAACTCATGCTCCCTATTGAAGTTCCAAAAGAGAATATTTGGATGAGAGTAAGATTCTTAGCTTGATTGCAGGACCAGACAGAATTCTACATAATCATCCGTTTTCTGGTTTTAATTAATTAATTATTTTGCCATGCTGAAGACCAAACCCAGAGTCTGATGTATGCTAGGCTCTATGACGGGGCTAAATCCCAGCTCTCCCTCAGCACTTCAATTCCACATCCTGTTGCAGAGTATGCTGCTTTGGACAGTAATGCTGAATATTTGGGTAGAAAGAAACTTTAGAAATGGAGTCAAGGCCCACCAAAGGGAACAAAGTTGATCCCCTGTATTCACTATTCACACAGCACATGATCGCCTTGTCTACACCATCTGTACTTTTCACACTTAGGTTCTCTAACTGTGGGTCAGGCGTATTAGTTTGTAACTTGGCAAGACAAGCTGAAGGACATGCTGACTCCTTTGAAGGCAGGGAGAACCTGTTGGACCAACAGGGCACACGCCCTGGGATAGGCTACTCTTTTCCTGTTTTTTTTTTTTTTTTAATATTTATTTTTTAGTTGTAGTTGGATGCAATACTTTTATTTCACTTATTTATTTTTATGAGGTGCTGAGGATCGAACCCAGGGTCTCGCACGTGTGAGGAGAGCGCTCTACCGCTAAGCCATAACCACAGCTCTCCCCTGTATTTTTTTAAAAATATTTTTTAGTTGTAGATGAACACAACATCTTTATTCATTTATTTTTAGGTGGTGCGGAGGATCGAACCCAGTACGTGCTAGGCAAACAGAACCCCAGCCCTCCCCTGTGTTTTTTAGCAGGAAGATGGAACATAGTTCAAATTTCTCAAACTAAGGATTGGAAAGCCTGGATAAACATATACACATATATGTCCTTACAAAGGAAGGGGTTTCTGCAACCTAACCAGCTGAGATCAGAATAAGACCATTTTGAAGGCTTACCTTCTCGTTTCCTGTAGATTCCAGCTAATGGTTTCCCCTGGCATTTGACTTCGTGATGTGCAACTGAGTTCTCTTCCTGAAGGGGGGAACGCATTCCAGAGCATTTGTTCGGGCTCATGTAGGTATAGATCTTTGATTGCCCGGCAAATACGTTCTCCTAAAAAGACAAATGAGTATTCTGAAAGAGGCTTGAAAAAGAAGAAAATCTCATAGCATTTAAGAGGAGAAGGGGAAATAAGAATACAAAAAACAGCAGGGTGTGGGAGCACACGCCTGTAATCCCAGCAACTCAGGAGGCTGAGAGAGGAGGATCACAAGTTCGAAGCCAGCCTCAGCAAGGTAGCAAAACCCTGTCTCAAAATAAAAAATAATTTTTAAAAAGGACTGAGGATGTGTTGTTCAGTGGTAAAGCACCCCTGGGTTCAATCCCTGGTACCAAAAAAAAAAAAAAAAAAAAAAGACAAAAGACAAATGACATTATCTCTCAACAACAACTAAGCTACAAGGGATTGCCAGCCCCAATTCTCAGGGGAGCACTGGCAGGGTTAGAATTTCCCCAGATCCAAGAACACATGAGGTCTCCAATTATGGTGGTATCTAGCCAGAGGGAGAACCAGTTGTACACCAAGGTCTACATAGGAGGAAGCTGACCTACCAGGTCCAAGTGACCCAAGGAAAACTTACTGGCAATCTGGAGGGCGGGGCTGAGCTTAGAAGTTAACTTCCCTGGCAGGAGCAGCAACTCTAACTTAGAAACAGGCCTCACGGAACATGATTAATCACTTGGTCCTGAGATCAGCTGGGAAGGCTTGTCATATTGCTTGAGCCTCCAGCCTGGCCCCTCTCAAATCACCACAACCCAGCCTCCTCCCTGGACTGTGGTTGGCAGATTCTCCAGGGTGGTGAGGGAGACTAATGAAAGCAGAGCAGGGTCAGGACATTTAGGGCGGTCACCCTAAGGCAAAACCGCACTTAGCTACTAACAGTGGGCAGGTCGGTACAGGGTTAGGGTACAGGTCACTGCAGGTCTCTGGGTGTGGGGCCTCTCCTCCCAGTGAGCACATAGCGGGAGGTCTTCCCCAGAAACAATGCGGGCCTTGCTGCCTGGTGATCCATCCAACGCCAAGTCAGAGAACCGGCAACCCCTCTGGGGGCACCCAGGCAGGCCCCGCACACCCTGGGAAGGCGGCCACCCCCGGAGACGCTGAGTCTCGGGGAGCGGAAAGCCACATCGAGCCACCGTCAAACTTTTTCGAGGTCAAACCCTGCTAGGGTCATGGCGGAACCCAGCGTGGCCGCCACTCCCAGCCAGGCAGCAGAAAAGGAAGCTGCCCCGGCCGGTCGCCCCAGGGCGGCGCGGGCGGGGGCCCGGGTGCGACCACGTGCTCGCGGCCCGGGCCCGGCGGGCGCACCGCTGAGTGCGGGGAGGGTGCCTGCTTACCCCGTTGGTGCGGGGCCTCCCCGGGCCCCTCCGCTCCACCATCTCCGGGCCCGGGGCCGTCGCTGCCACCGCCACCGCCGCCGCCGCCGCCGCCGCCTCCACCGCGCGGGGCTTGGACATCTTCCTGCCTGGAGAGGGGGACCCGGGGGAAGCGGGGGAGGGGGCGCTCAGGGCGCGGCGGGGCGGGGAGCGGGGCCGCCCGGGCCGGGCGCCGCGGCGGCGCCTCCCGCCGCAGCCATGTTTCGAGGGCCCGGCGGTGGTGGGCCAACCGCGCCGCCGGGAGGCAGGGGCCGGCCGGCCGGGCCGGGCCGGGGCCCGCGTCGCCCTCCCGCCGCCCGGCCCGGCCGGGCCCCGCGCGCCGCCCGCCCCCCGCGCGGCCGGGCCCGACACACCCACCTGCAGCCCGGCCAGGCCCATGGCAGCGCGCCCCGCGCCCTCGCCGCCGCCGCCGCCGCGGCCCGGCCACCAGCGCTGCCGTTGCCGCTGCTGCTGCTGCTGTCGCCGCCACCAGCGCCGCCGCGGCGCCCCGGGGAAGGGCCGGCGGCGCCCCACGGCGCCCCCTTCCCCCATGGCCTGCGAGGCAGGGCGGGCACCCGCGGGCCGCGGCAGCCCCGGGCCGCCCGGGGCGAGGGACGCGGGAGAGAGGCGCTGGCGGCGCGTCCTCCGCGGCCCGCTCGCCGCCGCCGCCCACCGTCCGGCTCCCCGCCCCGGGAGGGGGCTGGCAGGGGCGGCGCTGCAAGGCTCCTCGGAGGGAGGGAGCGAGCGAGGCGGGAGGAGGGAGGGAGGGCGCGGCGCGGCGAGGCGAATCCGGACTCGGGTGCGCCCCCTCGCGCGCGTCCTCTGCCACTCGGCGAGTACCGGGTGCGGAACACGGTCACGACAGCCAGGCTCCCCGCCGGCCGGTCCTCTCGCGGTTCCACGGGTATTCAGGGAGCCCGGTCGGTGCCAGGCGAAACCAGCAGCGGAGAATGCGAGGAGAGGACTTCGGTGCTCCCGGAGCTGTGCTCACCGACGTCTCTTAAACTCCGCCAGCCCGCGGGGGCAGGCACTGTCGCCATCTCAGTTTAAGATGGGGATGCTGAGGCTAAAGGTCTGGGCAGGAGTTTGCCCAAAGTCACAGAACCAGGAAGTGACCGGGCTAAGAGTCAAACCTAAGTGATCTGTACTTAGCCGATAGGAGGCCTGGGGAGACAGAGCCTGGGCTTGTATTGATAAGCTTACTGGGTGCTTCCTTGCATAGTTGTCTCATTCAAACCTCACAACAGTCTCACGCAGGAAGGCACCATTAACTCTTTTCTACAGATGGGGAAAATAAGCTTCAGGCAAGTGAAGAGTTTGGCCAGATCTCACAACTAGAAACGGGTTTCTAGTCCAGGACAACAGACCCTGAAGACTGCTCTCCTAGCCACTACCCTTCCCTGTTACAGATGAGGCAACTGAGCTTAGGAGGAGAAAATGGGGTTGCAGAGGGAATAGCAGGTCACCTTGTGCTCCTGCCTTAACTCCCATGAGAAAATGCCCCAGGTAGACAGGGTTCCAGGCACTCCGATGGCTGTCTCTGCAGAGCTCACTGCCTTGTGCGGTAGTTGCTAGAGCTGTGGGCCCACAGCCAAAAATTCGTCAGTATATTTGTGCAAAGTCATAGATGCAAACAAGGTACTTCAAGATGTCCAGCTCTTATTGCCTGGGTTTCTCTCACTGTATTTGCCCAACGATGCTTTGTGGCCATGGCCAAGGCATTTCCCCAGGCTAGCCCTCAGCTTCTCATGGGTAAAAACCAAGAACATTTTATTCCATAATCTACCCAAGGCACCTTCTAACATATACAGGTAAAAAAAAAAAAAAAAGGCTATAGGTACCTCTCTGCCTTGCCTCCCTTCAGAAGGGATATGACTGAGTAGGATTAAGTGACAGGATGGCACTCAGGGCAATGCCTCCCAAACTAGCTCAAGTTTTAACATTCATCAAGACAGGAATCCACCCTGACCATTAACCCCAGTGGGATAGGGCATTCTTCACATGCCCTCTGCAGAGTCTATTGTATTTGAATACCCAGGATGAGGAAGAAAGAGGATTCCAAAGTGACATTCTGACACTCAGTAGAGCCATTTGAAAGTGTCTCTACATCTGTAGAGCATATTTTGCAGACTGTTGTCACATTATGATGGGAATCATGGCTCTAGAGAAGGAAACATACATACAAATCATTCTGTTCACTTCACAAGGATACCATTCTCCCTCTCTACACTTATGGCCATAGCTTTCATTGCAATGTTAGTCCCAAAAGCAGGGGATTCAAGTCTAGCACCAATTCCTCTAACTGAAGCTTGAGTACCCAGAAGAAGTAAATGCAAATCATTCAGCGTATCAAAACAGTTCTCCCCTTCTTGGCACCTGTTTATTTGCATAATATATACACCCATCGATGGAAATACAGATGCTCCATTTTGCCCAGGAATTTGTAGAAATATAATGCAACAGTGATATTACTACTAATAACTAACACTTATTGAATGTTTATGATGTGCTAGGCCCTGAAATATTGCATTATTTAAATTTCCCAGGAAATGATGAGAAGGTACTATTACTCCTGTTTCACAGATGTGGAAATTGAGGGTCAGAACAAATAAATCATTATAAGTCCCATGACTAGAAAGTGATGAAACTGGGTGGGATCTGAACCTAGTTCTGCTAGATAAGCATATTTTATTTTATTTATTTATTTTTTATTTATTTTTTTTTAAATATTTATTTATTTTTTTAGTTCTCGGTGGACACAACATCTTTGTTTGTATGTGGTGCTGAGGATCGAACCCGGGCCGCACGCATGACAGGCGAGCGCGCTACCGCTTGAGCCACATCCCCAGCCCATTATTTATTTTTTTTTTTTAAAGAAAGAGTGGGGGAGAGAGAGAGAATTTTTTAATATTTATTTTTTAGTTCTCGGCTGACACAACATCTTTGTTTGTATGTGGTGCTGAGGATCAAACCCGGGCCGCACGCATGCCAGGCGAGCGCGCTACAGCTTGAGCCACATCCCCAGCCCCAGCATATTTTACAAAAAAAAAAAAAAAAAAAGAATGTGTATAGCATCTCTTGAATTCAAATGCTAACATACTGATTCATTCATTCAACAAATATTTATTGGATACCTACTTTGTTTCAGGTCTTGTGATAAAAATAGGGTAGTGAAAACAAAAATAGGTGGAGCACAGTGAGGCCAGGGGTCTTGCGGTGGCATTGTTGGTGACCTCCTAGGCCACAGTTACTGTGGATTTTATTCTAGGAGCAATAGGAAGATTGGTGAAGGAGAGAGTAGTAAGGGTCCCATGCTAAAAATCTGTATTCTCGGGAACTACTCTACCTGTGAAGGGATAATGAACTGGAAGTGGTAAAAATGCATGAAGGAAGAACAATCTGAAAGGGGCCGTTTGGCAATAGAAGAGATGAGAGAAGTAGATGGACTGATCCTCCTCAAGCTAAAATACTTGGGGTTGGGGCTGGGGATGTGGCTCAAGCGGTGGTAGCACGCTCACCTGGCATGCGTGCGGCCGGGGTTCGATCCTCAGCACCACATACAAACAAAGATGTTGTGTCCGCCAAATACTAAAAAATAAATATTAAAATTCTCTCTCTCTCTCCCTCTCTCTTTAAAAAAAAATAAATAAATAAAAATAAAATACTTGGGGTTGTAAATAGTTACGTGCCTATAAAATTTTAAAACCAACTGGGTGGGGAGGCCCATGTCTGTAATCCTAGCAACTCAGGAGACTGAGGCAGGAGGATCACAAGTTCCAGGACAGCTTGAACAACTTAGTGAGATCTTGTCTCAAAAGGCCTAGATGGGGCTGGGGATGTGGTTCAAGCGGTAGCGCCCTCGCCTGGCATGCTTGGGGCACTGGGTTCGATCCTCAGCACCACATAAAAATAAAATAAAGATGTTGTGCCCACCAAAAACTAAAAAATAAATATTAAAAAATTATCTCTCTTAAAAAAAAAAAAGGCCTAGGGATGTGGCTCAGTGGTTAAGAGCCCTGGGTTCAATTCCCAGCACCACAAAAATAAATAAATAAAACTTCAAAACCAGCTAGGAGTCGACTGGTATCTGAACAGTTTGTAACATACTGGGGCTCTCAAAATAAACTGCAAGTCTGAAACAAAGAATGATTTTCTAGAAGAAAAAGCTTTCTTTTGCTATTCTACAAATAATTTGGTGTTTACAATCCAATTTACTAGTCTGCAAGCTTAGCGAAGCCTAAGAAACAGGTAAGTACTAATCCAGGGGTCAAGTGAGACAGTGAAAATCTCTAACTAGGGGCTGGGGATGTGGCTCAAGCGGTAGCGCGCTCGCCTGGCATGCGTGCGGCCCGGGTTCGATCCTCAGCACCACATACAAACAAAGATGTTGTGTCTGCCGAAAACTAAAATAAATAAATAAATATTAAAAAAAAAATCTCTAACTAATAATTACAAAGGTGATTTGTAAGCCTACCATGGTAGAAGCTGGAAAACTTTGACCTTCACTTAGGCTAATTAAGGGAGATGGGGGCCCAATGAGCAAAGGCACAGCATGGCTAGAGTCTGGAAGGTGACTTGAACTTCAGCTTCCATCTCTGAAAAAACGTTTTGTAAGATTAAATGAGCTCCTTCTGTTCGTAAGTGATGATTGGGTATTCACACAATTGTGCGAGATGTGCCTCCCTCTAAACATATTACAGCATAGGCACATTACCCATCTGAAGTGAAGGAAAAAAAAAAGATTAAATAAGATAATAAACTGCCTGGCCCTCAATAATTATTATTTGGGCTGGGGTTGTAGCTCAGTGTAGAGCACTTGCCTACCATATGTGAAGCACTGGGTTCGATTC